AAACTAAAAAACAGAGTAACATTTGAATAACATTTAGTTTGCCTAAATAATAGTCACAATGATTTGAAAATGTAAAATATAATGGGTCCCCCAAGTGAAAATGATTATTTTTTATTTTTGGTTGTTTCACTGTTAGTCTAGAATGGGGTTTTTGGGAAGCCACCAGGTCTAGTAATATCATAACATAAGTGGTTCTGCACTAATGCAAGAATTTTAAGAAATCATACATTTTGAATATTGGAGCTTCACGGAAGATAGCTTCACGGAGGTTAGGATTTCGTATGTTTTTTTAAAACATCCCTTTGTATATTTGAAATAAGTTATTGTATCTTTTGACACCTTTTTTTTTTTAATACAATACCTTACTGGGATATTACACTTCACGGTGGATAGGTTTTTAAATAGCAAATTAATGAACATAAACTTTTGAATTATAAAACAGCAACACTCTCATCTGCATATAAATTCTAACTGACCTTCAGGAATCACATGCATCTATAATGTCGTAAACAGAGGTTTTTGCTTATTTAAAATGATTAAAGCATAAAATTTAAAGCAAATCCAGATTGACGGAGGATAGAATCAATTTTTGCAACACCTACATAAATGGTTATAAAAATTATTTCTTTTAATTTTTAATAATATTTTATATTTAATTCGATTGCTTTGGATGTGTTTAATTTAAACTGATATTTTTAGTATGCTTTTACTACCTCAGATATTTGAAAACATAAAGGTTAACCTAAAAAGGGTAACATTCACGGAGGATAGGTTTTAGACTTTTAAAACATTGTAAATATTAATTAATTGCGGTTAAAAATCTGAAATCTGAGCTGTAATATCTACTTAATTATGAAAGATCAAAACACAATAAAAGTGTATGTCAAACTCATTTAGTTTTATTAAATATGACGGGTAACACTATCGGGGGGCATTTCGTGAGATTCACCCAATGACATATAATGACCCGTATAATATGCCTTTAAATTTTAATACAAATTAAAGTTTTGTATTAAAAAGTGTTTTTTAATGGGCCATCCTGTATTTCAGAAATTAAAGGGTTTATCCACAATCCAAACATTCAGCTTGGTACTGAAAAAATATTTGGTTAACGGTAACGTTTCTTTCTTTCATATAAAAATATTTTTAAAATGCCTCCGTAAAATGATCTTAAAACCTTTGCCGCAAACTTCTAAAGATCTAAAGATGTTACGTTTTTGCAATTTTTCGGTTAAATTTCTTTTACACGTGTTCTACGCGACATCCCATTAAATTTTCATGTTTGCGAAATTTCTTCCAAAAGTATTCCAAACCCACCCAAGTTAAATGAGTTAAATTACAATAGATTTAATTATATCTTTTCGTCGATCTAATAACACTTAAACTTACGCAATTCAATTAAACTAAATGGGAATTTAAGTAATGTAGACATTATGTAGTCGATTCAATGTATTAAAAAACGCCTTCATACAGTTACTTAAATTGGTTTGATTATTAGGAAATAAACTCTTCATGTTTATTTAAATAAAACTAATTGGTAACATCGCATTTCTAACGAACATATGCCCTCAACAAATATGCTTTAAACTCTCAAGACCGAAAATTTGACAAAATTTAACCTCAAAACCAAATTTATTTATTTAGAAATAAGTAAACCAAATGTTCACCAGTTTTGAAAATATTTTTACTTAGAGGAAATTAGTATTACACAATTCCGTTAAAGAAACTACCGCGAGAAAAAATCAAAAATCGATTTGAAAACAATAAAAAAATCATATAATAGATATACGAGGTGTGTTCAGAATATATCGGAAATTTTCGTTTTTTGAAACAAATATTTATTTATTCGTCTATATTAATGTTGTCGCCTTCAAAATAGTCCCCATTGGATATTATGCACATGTGCCAGCTCTTCTTCCAATACTCGAAACACTCGATCTTTGGGATAGCCTTTAGTTCTTTCGGCGATGCGCTTTTAATGTCATCTATGCTTGCAAAACGACGGTCCTTTAAGGTTCTTTTTATTTTTGGGAATAGGAAAAAGTCAGACAGAGGCATGTCTGGCGAATATGGAGGCTGGGGCATCATTACAGTATTTTTTTGGCCAAAAATTTTGTTCAAAATTTAACAGTTTTAGAATAAATTTTGCTGCCAAGCGTTTCATACCAAAAACATTCGAAAAAATTTCATGGGATGAGCCAATCAATATACCAACATCATCAGCGACTTCTCTGATGGTTTATAACCATTTCTTCCACTTTTTCCATGTTTTTATCGGTTGTTAATGTGCTTGTGCGTTCGTCATCTTCAACGTCTTCACGGCCATCTTGGAAACTCTTAAACCACTTGTAAACTCTTGTTTTACTTATAGCAGACTCACTATAGGCCTTTGTTAACATTTCACAGAATTTATTTCATTTTTTAAGCAAAATTGGATACAAATTCTTTGATCCATTTCTTTTAACGAACGAAAGCGGCTGCAACAGACAAAGTAAACAATGAAAACAGCTAAAGTTTTTATCATACTTCGGGGGCATGTATACCAACATAATAAAGAAAATTTTATGACAACCGGACCCTCCGAACCCGCGAAATTTAACAATTCCCGTTATTTTCTGAACACACCTCGTAATAGAGAAATTACTAAATTACAGTCATTCATCCAATATTATTTAATCGAATTGTTTAAATTTCAAAAAAAAGTTTAAAGCACGTCACCTTGAACTTTGCGGGCGCGCACAGACTTTTACTTTTTACTTTTATTTTAACGGTTCTTTTTATTTGATTTTGGTTAAACGACTGTAAAAAGACGTCCGGTCATACCGATTTTATTTTTATTTTCTCACATAAAAGAAGCGGCTCGCGTGAGCACACTGCAAGTTTGCCGCACTATGGAAGAAATAAATAAAACAATTTAATGGTCCATTATTATACGAGAGATAATGCGCATAATCTCTAGTGTAATACTATACTTTTTCTAATCCAATAAGTAAATAAGTAATAAAATCATTTTCAAAAATAATTAAATAAAATATGACATCTGTCAAATGGTTAATCTCACTTTTTACCAATTTCAAATGTTATTATAGTCGCCAACCGAATAAGCTAGCCAAGGCCATTAACCTCTGAATACATAAATATTCTGTATTGAGATCTATTGAATTGAATTATAGCTAGTCGCCTTTTCTCAATTTAAAATCCTATTGGTTCAAATTACAGTGAATATTAAAATCGGACAATTACTGATGCCCAACAACGTGAATAATGAGTTCATTATTTACGTTTTAAGGCAAGAAATTTATAAGGTTTATCATTATTCTCGAAAAAAAACAATATTATTCAATAGGAAACGCCATTTTAGACACGAATTAATTAAATGAGGGTCAGCAGTTTCTAAACAAGTTGCATACTACTACTACTAATAAAAATGTCAAATTTTTATATGTAAATCGAAATGCATCCCTTAAAAATGAACCGTTTAATTGAAGAAAGAAAATGTTTAATGGGTACTCTACGGTGGAGTCTTCACCTGAAATTAAGTTAAATCAAGTTTACTGCCGGCGAAATTAAAAGGTCAGTATAATGTTCATATAAACTTTTTAAATATGGCGTTGAGAAATTATTTAATACTTTTGTATTTTTGTATTGAGATAATAAAATAATTTTTACATTTAAAATTATTTTACAAAAAGGGCATTTTATGTTAAAACTAACTTCAGCCTGTGACTAAAAAGTCAATGTGTATTTAAAAGGTCAGTTAGTGTCATGAAAACGTGTACGATAATGGGCGTTTACAAGGTGGGAGTAGAAAAATAGTTTTTGGTAGTCGGTGGTAAAAACTAAACAGAAAAATATTTGAAGGTATTGCTAGATTTAAAAATTGGTTTTACAGGGCAGATATTTAAAACAACCAGGACAATTGCCCAAAAATTTGGAGAATTTACACAATATAAACATAAAAACTAAATTATTAATAGAAACATACTTTTAACGAGGTCGGGCACGATCAAAAAGTTGTTCGTATGTACTTATGCTTATGAATATAAATTTTTGTCACGTTATAAGGTATAAATTAATTAAATGCAAGTTCTACACAGGCCATGTAGTTTTGGCTTCTTTATATTTTTATTCGAAAACCAGTCAGAGAAGGCCTTGGATAGGGACCACATTTATTCTCTAAATTAAAGAAATCTGGCAACCTTTAGCAGTTTTAAATAATTATATATAATGCATTACCACTAGCTTTTAAGATATCTAGATGTTGGTTACTTGAATAAAAAATATAAATAAACAAAACTAATTTTTAGAAATCATGCATTCAAAAACATCGTCAAAGTAAGCATTTTGCTACCCACTAGTGCAGATCCAGTGACACAGTATGCCGGAGATGCTAAAAAAAAATTATGAAATTTATGGAAGATCACCTACGACTTGGCTCGCATCGATAGTGAAAGTGGCATGCATCTATTAAATAATAATAACGGAGCATTGGATTATTCTGCCTATTTAATAATAATATACAGGCTGTATAATACAGCTTTATTTCAATATATAAACAATGGGCAATTTAAATATTAATAAGCACTGCAATTAAAATAATTCAATTAAATTTCTTTACATATTTTGTACGCTGATTCCAAAAATAACCATAATTTTGCCCAATTAGTTTTTGAGATGTTGTTTTTTTTCGATATGTAAACATTCAAACTCGTATATAAAAGTATAAAATACTTTAACCAAGGATCATTGATCATGAAGCTACAAGTTCCAATTTAACTGAAAAAAAAGTTATACAAAGTTTGTATAAGTGCTGTATTCCAAACAATTTTTGTCCGATTTTAATAAAATGGAATGGAATGGCAGAATAAAATAATAATAAATAATACCAATTTATTTTTATAACATTAATTTTATAAAAATAAATGACTGTACAATTTTAAAATCCAATTAGGCACCAAGCAAAGAATTTAATTGTGTTAACTATTTTGATTCATTTTCAGATATTCTTCACTGTATTAACCCTTCTCATCCTCCTTCAATGGTCAACAGAGGGCGCTGTGATGGCCCCGCCTTGGGCCAACCCGAAATTGAACCCATGCGCAACGCAACCCAACGGCTGGCAATTGTTATTTTGGCCGCCCGACGGAAAATGTTACAAAATATTTCAGGTAAATATTGTTACAATTTTTTTTTATATTTTTTAAAATTATAAAAAAGGAGAAAATTACACCCTGTATATTAAACAACTGGGTTTCAAAAAATTCACTTGAATTGAAACGCAAACTCGAGAGTGAGAAGAAAGGTCAGAAAAAATATTGCAGGAGTGCCTAGGCCTTAAGAACGATGTTAATGTCAACGAATGGTATTGATATTATTATTTAAACTTCCTTAGCATTTAAACACAATGCATGCTAGATCAATGTTGCTGATAGCGGCTTTCCGGTTCACATCACTTCATATAACCTATGAATAGCTCTGCAAAGCTATGGGTCATTTGAAACTTTGGGCAAAAAGAGGTTTATTTACTAAGAAAAGTTAGTTTTCATTTTTTTTGAGCTCGTTATTGTGATACGAGAACAAAATTCTTAATAACCGGATATTTAATTTAATTATAAAATAAAATTAATCTTTTATACATAACTTTTAGACGTAAGTCATATAGTAAAATACATCTGCAGATGTATAAAAGTAAGGTTGGGATACTTAATTAAATTGTCATGACTTTGTTTTACATAAATAATATAAAAATAATAAATTAATTAAATGTTTATCAACTTCATGGGCTGCTAATTTTCTGAAAACCCTAAATACCAAAATTGCTTAAAATATATGTAAAATGTTAAAAAAAACTATAGGTACGTTTTATGTTATTTATATAAGAAGTGCACTCAATGGTTACGCATTATATCCTTAACTGCATGGTCAGTTTATTTCGATAACAAATATTTAAAATAAGGAACCATTTAATATTTACACATATATTTTCCAATTTATAGGGTGTTTCCTAAGTCCCTACAAAAATTTTAAGGGGTAATTTAGAATCACTGATTCTACATCGGAAATTTTTCGACGGAAAATATAAAAAAAAGTTCGTAAGAACATGGCCATGCATGGGTTCAAAAATGCTTTGTACTACTTATGGTAACGATAAGTTATATAAAGGTTATATTAAGTTTGTCAAGGTATATAAGTTATATAAAGGTTCTCAAAGTATAAAAAGGTTTTATAAAATCGCCATTAAGTTTACTGGTTTTAAAATGGTCATATACGGTTACTGTAACCTCTAGGTATATAATTAGGTTATGTAATTGTTTCTACAAACATTTTAAACAACAATTACCAGTAGGTTTATATAAGTTTATAAAAAGAGTTTTATACATTTTGTGGTTACCTGTTTTATAAACCTATTAATTTTTTAATAAAAACTGTAAGGTATTAATTATGTATGTGATGAATAAAACATAATTTATTGTAATGAAACACTATAGTAATATATTAGCTTTCGACGTAACGCTTTTTCATAATATTTGGCATTTATTTATTTTACACAAATATTTTTAAAGTGGATTAAATCGAGGGTAATGTTAAGCGGAGGAAATTGATTGCATTGAATTATAACCATTAAAACTGCAGATCTACGGCAAAAATGGCATATCTGACAACAGCACAGTTTTGAGTGGTTGGAGATTATATAATAGCACTTTAAGTAACCTAGATACTAAAACTAACGTTTACTTTATTATAAAGCCTTTATAGGGGCTTAAGCTTGAGAAGTTCTACTCCTTGGTAAATTATTCGACAACATATATTATTATATTATATAATATTATTATCATATTACTCGAAAAAAATTAATAATACATAAATAAAATTAACATATACATTTCCTCACATAACTTTATCTTGAAAGCAAGATTAATTTTATAAATTTATTATAAATGATCCCCTTGTCCACAATGGTAAACATAAAATGTAGTACGCTTCAAACTAAAATTTATTGATAGGTATGAAAAATCAAATATGTTCGTAAACATTACTAAGCGTTAATACATTAATTAGAAAATCATATTTCCATATTGTGAGAGTTTCAACTATTTGGCAGGTCGTGACACCGTGTCAGTTTATATAAGAATTGCTGAGCGGTTGCAGTGACATTATAATAATTATTAATAAATTATGTTTAACGCGCACCGTTTAATTTTTTATTTTTATCCTAAAATATATTATCAAAACCATCTATAATGTTTCGCTTTCATGAGTTTTAAGCAGTTTTTTACCCATCGTTAAGATCTTAATGTCAGTTTCCTCGAGAATCGGGACAATTTATTGTATAATCCGCATATGATACTCCCTTACATAACGTTACACCATTATCATTATGTGAGACAAAGTTATTGTTTCGCGTAATTTGTTTAGAAATTATGAACGAGGAACATTTATATTGTGTTTGCTGAATATAATCAACATTAAAAAATCCTGGCATATCCGGGATATACCACTACACAGTGGTCCTTGACTAGCCATGGGTTTTATGAAAATGGCGCCAAAAATAGGTTCAAATATTAGTAGGCATGTATATCAAGGTAACAAAAACGCTGCAAGTCAAATCATAGCTGATCATAAAAATATGTTTTTGTGATACTTTTATTTATGTTTACATTTGACCATTGTGATAAAATGAACCCTATTGAAATTGTAAGCAACCATGAGCTTAACAGCATGTGGGCAGAAAATTATTATGGGTAATCCTAAGTTCCCAATTTCAATTTCCATCTGCAATACTTGTCGCCATGGTATCCCAAAATTTAAAAGCCAATTATAAAGTAAAATTGTCCCCTGGATCCGAAAATACCGTCAAAAATTATGAAAGTGTAGCAGTTTCTGAGATATAGTTAATTCCATATTAAATAGAAAATTGACTACCTATATCTCAAAAACTGTTTTACTTTTTTAACTTTTAAAGACATTTTCGGATTCAGAAGACAATTTTACATAAGAATTGGCTGTTAAATTTTGGGATACCATGGTATTCCATGGTTAACCATGGTACAAGTGAAAAAGCCACTAATAACTATTAAATTAGTCATTTTTGACTAATGCATTTTTAGAGAGCTGGGCTTTCAAAGTCTCTTAAATTGCACGTCATTTTGGAACATATTACTCAATCTTTGCAGTTTCTTCAAGAAGGTGGACTTGGTTTATGGTCAGAGCAAGCAGGAGAATCTATTCATAGAGAGTTTGTCAAGTACTGGAACCGATATAAAATAAATCTCCTACAAGATCCTTGCTATCAAATCCAGTTAAAGAAAGCTGTTGTTGAGTTCTCCTCTAGACATTTGTAACAAATATTGAGTGTATGTGAATTTGTTTTGGTCAATAACCTTTTTTCACTGTAAAAATAAAGAGTACTTTTTTAAAATTGTAGGAATCTAAAGGCTATGTAAAAATGCGAAATTGTTACATTCATAAAATAAGTTGCTTGTAGATATACCTATCAAAATCCGAACTTATTTTTTGGCGCCATTTTCATACAACCCATGGCTAGACTCTTCAATCAACGCCAACTCTAAAAATTTAAAAAGCTACTTTTTGTTAAAAAGTTCAAACCATTATTTCCTTATAATTGTCGGGTTTTCATTAAAAAGTTTAATTCAAAATTGTCATAATTTCTGGACAAATGATCATTTGTTTTAAAGACATTTAATAAACTTGAAACCCTACTAAATTATTAACAGGTTTTACAAACAAAACATAAAAATAAAAATGCAGGTCATTAACCCTAAATCCAAGATGCCCGGAGATATATTACCTTTATAAAACTCTAAATTGTTTTTTCTTTCAGATAGGATATCCATGTCCGGATGGAATGGAACTAAGTCCGGCCGCGGACAAATCCGGACAAGAATTTTCGGCCGAATGCCGATGTCCGCCGAAGACGGCCCAATCGGCCAGGGACGGACTCTGCTATGAAGTTTATTCGCTTGGCCCGTGCGATAAAGGGTACTACTTCGCCCCTGATACGCACTACGTCAATAAAGAGTAAGATTCTTTTGTTTTCATCTTTCTAAAGAAAATGTTCAAACATGCTTATTTCTAGTTCAAAAAGAAAATGGGGCGTCTGCAAACAACTGAAATTGTGCTCTAACCCTTCGGAAATCTACTGGCCACAAGACGGAAAATGCTACAAAAAACTGACAAAAGGTCCCTGCATCAAGGGCCAGTTGCTCTATAGTAGCGCACCGGACAAAATACCAGTGTGTAAATGCGGAAAGCAACGAGAATTAAGGGAGTTTCGTTTCGATAACGGTCAATGTTACCAACATTACACCAGGGGCCCCTGTCTGGAACAAGGTCATTTGTTTTTGCCAGACAGATCCTGCGGATGTCACAGTTTTTTGCCGCATTTCCATAATAGAACTCAGCAGTGCTACGAACTAGGTAGATATATATCACTGTCGTTTATTAGTTCATTTTTTATATGAACAATATATAGGGTAATTCAAATTTAAGAACGTATAGTTAGGGTGAAAATAAGACTTTTTTCCCTATAAACATGTGTCCTAAAATGTTAGCTACAGTCATTGTAAGTTGTACTTGAAATATCGATTATTTAAAATTGCGACTACAATTCTGGAAATTTGTATGCCCCTATTTTTTAGACACTATTTATTTTTTTCTTAAAAAATAATGCAAACCTAGTTTTAAGGGAGTTGGAGGGGGGTTCACACTTTTATTGGAAGAAATGTTGTGTTTACAAATTCCAAACCACTAGAAATTCACTCAAATGAATATGGAAAATTTTTCATTTTTAAACCAAACCATAAGCAAAACTATGGTTACAAACTTCAATCTAGAAGTCTAGACAATAATAGGTTTGTTTCTACTGAGCATTTGGACTGTCGAATGGATGTCATCTGCTTGATAAACTCTTTCATTTGATATCTATATCGCATTAGTAAAATTGCGACATTATTTACGTATTGTACATGTCCCTAATATCCATTGAAGTTCAAATGCACTTCTTTAGGAACAAACCTTATACCGAACTTTCATTTTCATAACAGAATAATTTTTAAGAGTGGGAGACGCCGAGACTCTCGGCCCGAGAGACGGTTTTCGTAATTCAGCAGTAGACCCTTCACCGGCGTTGGGTGATAGTCGAAGTTTGCTCTGGATTATTAAAAGGAATTACGCATTCAGTTAATTTACTTTTAAAAATGATTAAGATAATTTAAATGTAAAGTAATCACTTTTAACAGTAAATTATTAATTAAAGGTGTAAAATCATTATTTGTTTTGCATTTCTCATAAAAAAAGTTTAAATATAAAAAATTCTCTTGAAAACAAAACTAAAAATCAAACTTCTTAAAATAAATGTAAATAAATAATATTTTATTTAAAGCTTATTTTCAAAAGTTCCCCCAAATTGCGTCAACAAAAGCCCAGTTCGGTGCGAACATTAGCTAGCATATCTGGGGTAATTGTCTCATTCGCCCAAATTATTCATTTTTCATGACGGTACAAGGTAGAATTTACATTTCCCCATAGGAAAAAATCGTTATGGGCCAAGTCTGGGGATCTTGCTGGCCAGCGAATGGCGCCCCTGGTTGAACATATCCTTTGGGGAAAATATCTTGTAAATACTCGATCACTATTCTTGTGTTTTGTGATGGGCAACCGACCTGTTGATACCAAACGTTATCAAAATTTGGGGTTATGTTTTGGATCGCAGGAATATTTTTATTTTGAAGAAAATTCAAATATCTCGCTTCATTTAAATTGCCACCAATTACAAAGGGACCAATAATATTATTCCCATAAATACAAGACCACACGTTCAACTTTTCAGGATAGTGAGTCTTTAAGTTTAGTTGCCTGTACTCATTTTCAATAGACCAGTACCGGACAATAGCAGGATTGTGCTTTTCTTTTAATGAAAATGTGGATTCGTCGCTAAATACTATGTTTTCAATGAAATGTTCATCGTCATTTGCGCGTTCCATCATATTTTCACAAAATTCCATTCTCCGGTACTCGTTGTCTTGAAAAATTTATTGATGTACTTGGTATTTATAGATACGATTTTTTTTCAATATTTTGTGGACTTTGTCCACACGAATGCCGGTCTCTTCGGCTATTTTGGGAATCGATGTATTTGAATCTTCTTCTACCATTGCACAAACTATTATTTCTTTCACCTCCGCATCTACATCAATTCTGGGAGTACTGTGACATTTACACCCCAAAATACAACCATTTGCTTTAAACCTTTGCATAACGTTTGTTATTGTTCTAATTGACAAAATAAAACGTTCCGGATATTTAGCTGAGAATAGGTCTCTTATTTGAGATAGAGAATTGCCCACTAAAGATCAGCTTATGTCAATTTTCTCTTGCAAAGTGAAGGACATTAAAACTATAATTTTAAATAAAAGACATTAATTTATGTTAAAACGCTCGAAATACACACTAGAAAATGAAAAAAATGCATCTAGGGATCGGGTTCACTAGAGTGTATACAGTGTGTATTAAAACGAATAGACACACTTAAATAAAACAAGTGCCAAACCCCGCCCACTGTGGTAGAGATTGAATTATTATTATTTTAGAATTATTTTTGTTTGAGAATTTATAGGTTTTATTTTTATCGAATTCGTTTGTTTTGTTTTAATGCATTTCTGCAAATAAAAACTAAGTATTGTTTAAAATTCATTAAATTCCAGTTAATGGCGAAAATTTATTTCTTAAAAACTATACACATTTCCCTACGACAGCGTCGGAGCTACTGAACAAACAGTAGATCAAACTGCATGCCCCTGTATCTGGCTGCATGCCGTGCTGTTGCCATATGCTATTATTGTTTCCTAAAAGGGTTGTTTTTCTTATTTTTTAATATTAAAAGTAAGAAAATTAACTAAATCAGATTATTTTTGACATATTATTAATTTTTTTGTTATTTTTAAAGTTTCAAACAAATAAAATTGAACTATTTATTAAATAATTATAATCGTTCTCTTCTGATTTAAAACAACCTGGCAACTATGGTTCGTAATTACGAATGGCTTGGTTTAAACCAGGCCCAATTAAAGTTTGTTTCTTTTTCTCTGATCAGAATATAATTTGTCATCCTTGCCTCCAGCCTTACTTACTTGATTCTATACAGTCTATTTCAAATGAAAATGCGGTATAATACTCCCGGTAGTCCCGGTTTCTAAACAGTGTTGCCAGATGCCAAGATTGATTTTTACGATTTTACACGACTTTTCTGCAGTGGTTGCATAAAACCAGGCGTATTTTATAATATAGAATATTGATAATTTTGCATTAATTATACATTTTCTTAGGCTCCATTGGTCCCTGTTCAACTGGCGAAATATTCGACTTAAACCACGAAACGCGCCGAGGATCTTGCAACTGCAAACCGGGATACATCCGCTACCGAGACTCGACGTGTCACCGACCCTACACTCAGGGTCCCTGCCCCGCAAAACACATCCTAGCGAACACGACGGACTGCATGCCGCAGCCGTGCTCCAAAGGACACCTGTTCCACCCCGCGGACAACCAGTGCTACCGGATAGGGACGCGCGGTCCGTGCCAGGACGGCAAGATAGTGACGTTCGACTTCAACACGCGGCCCTCGATAGACGGCGTGTCGCACAACGGCGTGTGCGCGTGCGAGCGCAGGGACTGCCGCGGCGGCGCCGCGCAGCAGCCGTGCGACGGCTCCAGGGCGCACGTGCGCTACGACGGCGCGTGCCACAAGCTGTACGCGCAGGGCCCGTGCCCCAAGGGCTCGTGGATGGTGCCCAAGCGCCGCAAGGGGCGCGGGGAGGGGCTGTGGACGGACGGCGAGAAGCAGGGCGCGTGCGAGTGCTCGCCGGGCTACAGCCGAGTGCAAAGGACCGTCAAGAATAGAAACGTGACGCTGTGCATGTCTCCAACTGTGATTTTAGCCAATTATTTAAACGGTGGTAATAACAATAACTACACGATCGCTCAAGTTATTTCCGTGTAGTCTATGTCGATGATGATAATAAATAGTTTTAAGACTGAAATTTGTGTACCTACTTACCTTATTTTTTTCCTCAATTCGTTTATTTCGCTTTCCAGGCATGTTATATTTTTGTTTTTGCATTTAAGTTGTTCTTCCAGAGATGCTATTCGTTCGGTTTTTTCGTCCAAAGAGTTCTAAAAATAAGTGCCAATGTAATATAATTTTAGAAAAATTTAAAAAGTTAAATGTGTCTGATTTTTTAATAAAATAAAGTTTACTTAATTTTGTTGAAAAAACTATTCGTTCAGAGTTCTAAAAAGATAGCATAGGGACCACAGACCACCAAAACAAATGGACGGCGCATTGCCATTCAATAACAATGCTTTGTTTGCGGTCAACAAACGGTCACAGTCTAAGAGTCAAATTGGAGATAGAATTTTATGTTTTCTTCCAGTGACGTCAACAAACGGTCACAGTCTAAGCGTTAAATTGGTGATAGAATTTTATGTTTTCTTCCAGTGACGTATTGGGATTAAAAAAATAATAAGTAGGTAGGTACTTACAAACGATATTTCCATGTATTGTTATTTTTAGTAAAATATAATGTATTTAAACTCCATAATTAACTTAAACACGATAGAAATACACAAACGAAAACACAAAACAACAAGCTGTCAACCTTTTTCTATGCTGTCAAATATGACGAATTAACCAACGTTGTTAATATTTAATTTTAATAATTATTAAATGATTTACTTTCTTTAAATAGAGTAAAATATCTAAAGAAAATGATGAACAAATCCTTTTTACAATTTTTTTATTATTCAACCGAATTACTGGTAATTATTAATGTTCATTATGTTATGATGAACGTCCAAAAAGGCGTGTAATCTATACTTCTGACAACGTTGGAAACCGTGTTTCTTTCGACGGTGTTTAGAATGTGAAACTATGCTTTACTCGCTGTTTAAACGTAAACAAATCCGTCCATTAGTTTTGGTGGTCTGTGATAGGGACACGTTACTCGGTAATTTTTGTCCCACCCGTCACGATTAAAAATTGTGAGTAAAAACTGCACGTTATTAAATTTATTATTATTGAAATAAGCTTATAATCACAATAAAAATAATATTATAAAATAATAATTTAATAACTTGTGGTAACTTGGAGTAACGTGCCCATACTAAAACATAATACCATTTTAGAAAAATTTCAAGAAAAAAATGTAGCAATTTTTTTTTATTTTTCTAAATTATAAAATACAAAAATTTTCGGGCAAAAAAAAATAAAATTTTTGTTCAAACGAAAATTCCTTTATTCACGAGGAAGCTATTGTATTTAGGTAAATTGCTCTTCGAGAAATCGTGCTCATCGCAAACCGTTGTAAAAAAGGTAGTTTCCACAATTTGACAAATTTTCTCATTCACAATATTTTTATAACAAAAACATTTAAACCATACACTATTAGATGCTCTATAGTTTGTTTAAATAAAATTATGATTATGGTCCATACCTAACAAATCAATAAAACATGTTTATAAATAAGAAAAATGTTTATAAATTGGAAAATTCTTTATAAATAAGGAAAAAAGTAAAATTTTGGACGTTAACATTTTTTTTTCGTAGTTTTTTTAAAAGTTGTATTCTAGATTTTTCTGTTGTTTTTGTGGAATCGCCGATGTTAAATTAAAACTGTTTGTTTTTATTTATTTTAAATCATGCAGGTAATTTTTGTATTGGAAATAATTATACTTTTATATTTTTTTTGGCAAGATTTTTTTTTACTGACAAATTGTCAGACCTACGCATACCTAAAAAATTAACACAACCATTTAAATTGTTTTCAAACAGTGTTAAACAAACATTTTCATAATCGGCATCATTTTTCGCCAACAAAGGACTGTGTAAGAGAATAGTAAAAATTGGTAAAATACAGGTAAAAACCCTTTTTACATTAAAAGAAATGAAGTAAATTTACTTCATTAGAAAAATGTATCAAATTTAAATAATTTTGTTCAAAAAAAGGTAAATTATAAAATTAGAAAAACATTTTCTAGATTGGATGATTATTGGCAACAATATATAGTTTGTTGTTATTCGGAATTTGACCCGGTCAAAAATTTGTGGGTTTAGTTGACAAACTCTAGGGTCCCTAAATTTATAATTGGCTTCTTTGAGTAAAACAAAATAATTTAGTGGATACAGCACAAATTAATTATTTCATTAAAATGCCGTTTTTTAAATTTCTTTTTGTTAAGAATAGTCTGTCATGTTTGGCATTGTTTATTATAATTTTAAAAATTAAATTATAAAGGTCAAAGTAAAATTAAGGAATTGAGTACCAATTTTAAATATTAAAAATACCAAAGTATAGTGATATACTGACCAACATAATCAAATGTGACAAATTCCGAATAAAAAAAAATATTAATAATGTTAACCGTATTTTGGGTAAAAAATTCATGAAATATAAAAAAAATATTTGGACTGAACGATTTTCAATGAGAAAAAACTTAATAAAATAAACAGTTTTATCCAAAATCATAATTGTACAAAATGTGTAAAACATCAAAAAACAAATAATACAAAATATTTCCAGACAGAAAATCATGCCAAAGTTCTAAACTAAACTTACCAATAATTCATCCTTTTCCCGGTCCAATTTGGTTAACTGTTGCTTCATAATATGCACGTCACTGTTTAAAGCAGCTATTTCAGTTTCACTGGCAGTGTTCATTTTATCAGTCGACTTTATTTTCATCTTTAAATTCGAAAGATCAGTTTCGCTTCTAAGAAGCTGATTCTGCAAATCGACAACCGATCTTTCCGACTGATCATGAATATTCCTGCAATAAACATAAGAAAAATAATTGAATGTGTTCATTATTTTATTATTCTTACTTTAGTAGGTGGTAATTTGCCTTAGTGACACGCAATTCTTCCTCGCTTTTTCTCAGTTGTTCCTGTATAGTTTTCTGGTTGCCCTCCAGATGGTGCACTGATGATCTTTGAGTGACCTGAGCAATTATAAGTTCTTTTCTTTCGTCTTCTAATTTGTCTATGTGACTTTGCATCTCTTTGAAGGCGCTTTTAACACGTTCTCGTTCTTTATCACTTTCATCCACGATTTCCTAAATATGAACATAAAGAAAATGTATACTAAATTAACTGAAACATACCTGATATCTTCTGCGTAAGTCATTCCTTTCATCCTCCAATCTTTTCAAGTCACTTCTGAGCATTTCTATTTCACGTTCTTGTCTTTTTATGGTCCTCTTTAATATTAATAACGGATTAAATAATAAAGAAAACAAAATAATAAATGATTTATACCTGGTTCATGTCCTTGGAGTCCAAAGACTCCATGCTGTACACAGTTTGGGATCTACCGGTTAAAACTTGACGGTTTTCGTCTTTCAAACGTCTGATTTCGGTTTCTAGTTGGGAAATTTGTTGTTTTAGCTCGGGATACTACAAAAATTAAAAGACTGAAACCTGACGGTTTATAAATTTAAGGTTTATTCTACCTTGTCAGTTTGGCCTTCAAACGATCTATTTTTTAAATCGTCTATCAGTTTTTGGTATTCTTTCATGTAGTACTCTTTCTCTTGCTTTACAGTCTCCAGCAGTTGAAGATTCTAAAAAATAACATCAAATATTAAAGACTGAATTTTCCACTGTAATGGTGTTCAAATTTGGATTTATTTGAAATATATACACTCGAGTTGACACGATCGCCCCTCCCCAGATGCATTGTAAGCAGATTGCCGTAGGCGACGATTCAGTTATGTTTTGCATTTGCTATTGTGTATTTCGAGCCTTTAATTAATTTTTTTTATTTAAAATTATAAGTTATAATGCTCTACACATTGCAAGAGAAAATTGACATGATAAGCTGGTCTTTAGTGGGCAATTCTCTACGTCAAACAAGAGACCTATTCTCAGTTAAATATCCGAAAAGTTCTATTCCGTCAATTAAAACAATAACAAACGATATGCAAAGGTTTATAACAAATAAAAAATATTTTGGAGTGAAAATGTCACAGTACTCCAAACGCGCAAATACATAGTATTTAGCGACGAATCCACATTTTCATTAAAAGAAAAGCACAATCCTGCTATTGTCCGATACTGGTCTATTGAAAATGAGTACAGGCAACTAAACTTAAAGACTCCCCTGATAGCAAAATTTGATTCTAAGAATCTTCTAAGAAGATATGACCCGGAATAATGGAATATTCTTAGAACCTTCCCTTATTGCTAAGAATGTTCTTAGGGACTTTTAAAACATTCAATAGATACCCTTTTAATAATGCAATTAGATTTTTAGAAGCTTCTTAAAACCTTCCTAAAAAGCATTCTAAGAACATTTTAAGAATACGTTTTTGGAATGTTCTTAGAAGGTTTCTTTTTTGAGAATATTTCCAAATATGTCAGATACCCACGTTCTAATATGTTGGATTCTACATTCGTAAAATTCTTCAGGAGGCGACAAATAGGCCTCACTGTCATAATATGACAGTGAAATGTATTTGTCGTCCCCTTAAAAAATTTTGCGACATATTAATTTAAAAATATTAAATAAACAATTTGACCTCTAAACCATAAGTTGTATGACATTATTTCATAAAAAGTAAAATTGGAAAATTTTGTGGGATAAGTCAGATTAGATTGAAGTTGAAGATAGGATTATTATACATAAAAATGTTAATTCAGATATAAAAAATCGGTATACAAATTAATAAATATTTATTTTTAACATAAAATAAAATATAAAAAAACAAAATATTTCCTTATAAAATAATTCTTCATAAAAGAAAAAACCAAATAGTTCTTCATAAAAAAACATTTGTGTGGGATACCTATATAGTAAAAGTATTTTTGTTATCGAATATTGTTTTAATTTGACAAATAACTATAAAAAAATATTTTGGGTAGTGTTTTTTACTTAGTATTTAATACTAAGTATAGGTACCTTTATACGTAGATTATGGTATATTTTACTATTATTAGGTACCTAACTGAACTGAATATGCTTAACAGAATGTTCCAGGAATATTCCTAAATGAACTTTCTATAGCAATTACTTTCTCAACATTCTAAGCATATGTTTAGAGTGGATTAATTTTTACCACTAAACTTTGCACCTTCTAAGAACCTGCCTATAGGCCAGTGAGAATATTCTTAGGATTATGCTATATTTCTTTTAAGCATGTTCTTTAGAAGAAATATAGCATGATCCTAAGAATATTCTCACTGGAAGGTTTAAAAAACATTCTTAAAACATGACTAGAAGAAATATAGCATGATCCTAAGAATATTCTCACTGGAAGGTTTAAAAAACATTCTTAGAACATGACTAGAAGAATTATAGCATGATCCTAAGAATATTCCCACTGGGAGGTTTAAAAAACATTCTTAGAATAAACTGTGCTATCAGTATCCTGAAAAGTTGAACGTGTTGTCTGGCATTTATGGGAATAATATTGGTCCCTTTGTAATTGGTGGCAATTTAAAAATAGAATTATTCCTTAATAAAAAACATAACCCAAATTCGTATAACGTGTGGTAACAACAGCACGGTTGCCCATCACATAAGACGAGTATTTACAATAGATTTTTCTCCAAAGGATAATTTCTACCATATATATTGGCCAGCAAGGTCGCCAGACTTGGCTTCTAACGATTTTTTCCTATGGGGATATGTAAAATCTACTTTGTACCGTCATGAAAAAATGAATAATTTGGGCGAATTAGAGGCAAGAATGACAAATTATTCAAAGGTTATTATTTACATTTATTTTAAGAAGTTTGATTTTTAGTTTTGTTTTTTTTATTTTAGTTTTTAAAGAGAATTTTTAATGTTTAAACGTTTTTTTATAAGAAACACTTTTAGTTAAACGCAAAACAAATAATGATTTTACACTTCTAATTAATACTGTTTAAAGTGATTACTAGGGATGGGATTTTAGTTATTTTACCTTTTTTCAGCCGATGTAACTATTTGAAAACCAATAATGCCAAAATGTGTTTTAAAAGATTTTCTTTTATATGAACCACCTTTTTTACCTTTTTTGGAGGTTTTTGCTTTAAACTACCTTTTTTATACTTTTGTTACCTATTTTTTAACTTGTTTTCACCTTTTTTACCTTTTTTGGAGGTTTTTGCTTTAAAGTACCTTTTTATAAATACTTTTGTTACATATTTTTTAATTTGTCAGTTTATTTTCACCTATTTGTTACCTATTTTTACTTATTTTATTTTTTTGTGCTTTTTTTAAATTTTGCGCCAATATTTTATCCAGGGCGTGCAACTCGACGGTATAGAATTTTTTCTTATGGTCACAGACTGTAACTGTAACTTTCTTTACAGTTACCTTCTTTGTAGTGAGCTTATGTTCTGTCATAGAACTTCTGTGTAGTGAGTGTCACTCAGTGAAACACAGTTTATTGCATATAAATATTTATTGTGGGTATGTTCTGTGTTTGGGTATGCGGCTAAACAAAATTATAAACGAAACTTGAACTTTTAATGTTTTTTTTTTACCTAAAATGCTGTTTTTTAACCTAAAATGCTTTTTTTTAGTACCTTTTTAGTTACCTATTTTTCAGTTTTTAGTACCTAAATATCCCATCTCTAGTGATTACGTTACATTTTAAGTATCTCAATCATTTTAAAAAGTAAATTAACTTAATAATGCGTTTTAATAATACAGAGCAAACTTTAACTATCACCCAACGCCGGTGAAGGGACTACTGCCGAATTACGAAAACTCTTAAAAACTATTCTCCCACTCTTAAAAACCTACATGTAAAATTAAAGTACGGTATATAAAAATGTATAGTTTAAGTCTTTTTTCAGTTCTAATTAAATCTCGAGTTTTTGATAAACTTATTAGGCTGTATAAAACACAAATGTTACTTTGATTCTTAAATTCTTAATTAAAAATAAACTTACCTGAGCTTGCCTGTACTCCATTTCCTTATCCAACAGCTCCCTCATGTGTTTAACGCAAGAATCCGACCCGCAAAAAGCTTGCGATTGCTTCGTATCGTACGACCGCGCGTCCGAAGTGCGTTCGACAACTTTCGAGGTCGAGATCTCGCGTTCGATCCTTTCGGTCGCGCAAGACGACGATTTCTTGCAAGTCGGTTTGTGGTCCCTTTTGGCGCCGTATTTGTTGCTGTACGCGGTCGTCGTTTTACCAGTGGACTGTTTTCCGTGCGAAGAGAGAGGTTTTTTCACGGGGGAAGGTTTACGTTTTACTTCCGGTTTCTCGGCGGGGCCGGTGGATCTGTCCGCCGGTTGACGAACTTCGTGGATGTCCGTTCGCGATGTTCGGTCTACGGTGTCTCGCGGTTGCTTTTTAGTAGATTGAATAACAAGTTTAGTTTTTTGAAATAAAACTTCTTTGCGTGCACAGTGGTTGAAAATACCAAAAACAAAAAAAATTTAACCCGACCTCAGAAAAAAAAAACCTATACAGGGTGAGTTTTAAGTTGACGCTTTTCTTTTAACAGCGTGTAGAAATCAGATAAACAAATAAATATTTTAAGTAACTTTTTTATCAAAACTCAAAAATAAGAGAGTTATAGGCCTTCCAAGTTTAATTAAATTTTGAGCCGGTCCTGGCTATTGTTAACAAAAAACATAACCATAAAAATAAAAATAACAAAATAAACAATGCAAAATGTCATCTATGACAACAAACATAACCATTTAAATCAAAATGACATTTAGCAATGAAAAATGTCATTAATTACCTAAGTTATTTTGTGCCTCAATTATTGTTAAAAATGGTTCATAATTATAGCAATAATAAATTAGTGGAAATGTTACTAATTTATGGAGAGTCGTCAAAATGCAAATGCTGCAACTTAAGTAAATAATGACATTTTTTATTGCAAAATGTCAATTTGATTTAAATGGTTATGTTTGTTGTCAAATATGACATTTTGCATTGTTTATTTTGATATTTTTATGGTTATGTTTTTCGTTAACAATAGCCAGGACCGGCTTAAAATTTAATTAAACTTTGATGGGCTATAACTTTTTTATTTTTGAGTTTTGATAAAAAAGTTACTTAAAATATTTATTTGTCTAGCTGATTTCTACACACTGTTAAAAGGAACGCGTCAACTTAAAACTCACCCTGTATACACATTTTTATTTATATATAATTTTATCGATGTCCGGGTTTTTGGAATTTTCAACCACTGTGCATATTGGAATATTCAGTTCCAAATTGAAAATTGGTAGGACAAACTTGCACAGTAGCTTGGAAAAAATTTTGGGAAAACTTTTCAGTTTTTAATATTTACAAAATTCTTGAAACTTTTAACTATTAAAATTTTCAAAAATTTTAATATTTACAAAATTTTAAGCTTAAAAGCTTTAAAATGGCTTAAAATCTCAAAAGCTGAAAAGCCTAAAAAAGTTTAAAAGCTTGATTGAGGACCAAGGTTGGCAAATATAATATTTATATTATATTTATAAGTATCAGATCAAATAAAATTTAGGAATTTGTGATATTTTAAAAAGAAAACTAACACATTTATAACAACTTTATTATTGGACGGATTCGTCAGAATCAATGGATAATTCTTTTGAGAAAGCTCCTTGTCTGTTTAAATTGTCCCATAATTTCTTTTTAATTATTTGAAATAATTTATTTCTTATTTATTTTACAATTTTGATTTAAATAAAAACGTCAATTTTTCAACTTTTTAGTTTCTAAGGCGATTGCACAAGTCCAAATGATGGTTTACTATAAAAAAATCTGCACTCTAGTAATAAATACGTTGTTCCATGTATTGGCATGCGGCTTGTTATCTCTGCTAACAATTTTGGCCTTAAAGTAAGATATTTTTTATTTTTTTTATAATTATCATATTTATTTTGTTAAATCTTATATAAGTAGACAAAAAAAGCCCAACCCTTTATCCACTTTCTATAAATTCTATAAATTACAATTACAAATGAAAAACAATCCCAATGACCCTGCAGTACAATACAATCAATGCAGTTTGTATTTTTTAACATTTTACTTTAAAGACTTGTTTCAAAATAATATGGAATAATATTATATTATTCTTCGCACCCAGCCAATTGTTTCTTATTTAGTATCCAGTTTTACAATTTCTGTTAAAACTGATATTAATAAATCGAATAAATAAAATTATTAGTACTTAAAATGCTCAATGTTGAAACAATATAGCATAGGTACATTTTTGATTAAATAAAAACCAAAAAGGAATTTAATTTAATTGTCCACATGTATTTTTTTGTTATTATAATAATTAATATTTAATAATATATATATAATATATAAATATAAACATAATTGTATAATATGTTTTATACTTTTTTTATATTCTATATTAATATTTTATACTCATATTTTCTGTGATATGTACCTGTTATGGAATCCTGTATTCTTTTTGGGTTTAATAAATAACTAAAATTAAAAAATTAGTACTTACATAAGTTGGAAAGCTTGGCGGTTTATATTCAAATGGTTTGAGTTTTTCAGATGATATTAAACATTCTAATTCTGCTATTCTACGTTTGTGTTCCGCTGATACTCTAACTAATCTGTCTATTTCCATATTAAGATCATGTTCTACAAAAAAGTTTTTCAGTATAAACCTCAGTTAATGAAATATTATTCTATTTAATATTTCCCATACCTATTATTGTAAAATTATTTAGTTTGTTAGTTAATGTTTTTCTATCCTCTACTTCTCTGTCAAGTATTTTTTGCAAATGAATTTTCTCCATTTTAATAGCATCCAAGTCTGAGGATAGCTCAATTTTATCCTGGCGAAGTTTTGCGTTTTCCCTTTCCAAATTTTGTATCATGATAACAGACTCATTCACTCGATCTTGCAATCTAAAAATAATAAAATTGTTGTATATTTTCATTACTTAAATAAGAAAAAAGTTCCACTTCCTGAAAAATAGGCATCTATAGACTTTGGTCCATAAAATAATTTAAAAAATATTTTTTATACCAAGGAAATACTGCAGTTTTTTTGTTATAAAAAATATTAGCTTTCAATATATTTTTATTATTCTAGTCTACTGTATGAAGACATGTTCGAATATTTTAAGCCTAAGTTTGACACAACTGCAAAATTTTAAGTCACAACTCAAAAAAATGATTTTGTCTACCCCATTTCTAACCAACAATGCAGAAAGTAGAAAGATACACAAAACCATTGAACATTTTTTTAAATTTATTTAAATTACCTTGTAACAGTTTCTGCCTTATCTTGTACAGCATCATTGCATTCAGCTTCAACAGCCAGAGCAATTTGGTCGATATCCTTTAACTCTTTTTCAAGCTGTTTATTTCTTTCAGCTAAATGTAAAGCCCTCCTCATTGCTTCATGTTGTTTATTTATGGCTTCTTTCAAATTGTTTTCCAGCTCAGTGTTTTCATGTTTTAACTTGTGTATGTGATCGTGCAGAGCCTTAGAACGATTATCAATATCTTTGTAACAACACTCCTTGTTTAGAACATCTATTGATCTTCCACCTTCCACCAAACTCATGAGTCTTTCTATTTCCTTATCACGGCTTGATACTTGGTTTTCGTATTGTTGCACCCTATCCAATAACTTTAACTTGGAGTCTTTTAACTCCTTTACAATTTTTGATAGGGATTTTATTTTTGAATCCGATGCTGCCATTGTGGGACAAAATTCCACACTGCACTTTTTACTAGTACCTGATGTAGACTTACTTCTAATACTCGATTTTGGTCTATTTTTACTAATACCACTTATAATATTCCCCTGATCAACAATATCCAATTCCAAATCGGTAATTCGCTTTCTTAGTTTGTCCTTTTCTTCCTCAAGCTCTTCTTTTTCTTGCTCCAACCTATTAACTTGCCTTTTTAGATCTAAAACGCAATGATAAACCTAAAGAAGGGATATGGGCTTAAAATCACTACAAACCTTTTTGTTTCTTCTCATTTTGCTCCTTAAATTGTAAAAATGATAAATGTAATTCGTTGCACTCTTTAATCAGTTTAGCATTATCACATTTATAAGGTTCAGCTCCCAATTGCAAACTGTCACGTTCCTGTCAAATTGAAATGAATTTAATGACATTTTGTTCAATTGTTTCAACAAGTGTCAAAAATGCACAGTATATTGTTTTTATTTACCTCAATTGCATCCTGGGCAATTTTCATGTATTTTTGTAGGCTTTGTGTAGTTGTTTTTAGGTCACCCAATAATCTATCGACTAAATGTATGGAATCTTTTGAAAATGTTTGATAATAACCTAATTCGTTTAATTCGTGGCGAATTTTTTGATACTTGGCCTCCATAATTATTAACTTATTATTGTATATAAATAAATAAAACAATGGTCATAACATATAAAAAATCATTTTGTATGTTAATAATAAAGAATACAATAAAGTTTGTAAAATTAAAATAAAGAGAAACAATCACAACACAAACAAAATTTTAAATTTGACATTTAGGGAAACTTTTTCGAACCCAAGAAAACAAAAGTTACTAAACTTATCAATAATTGAAAAAAAATTCTGAGATAGAAAATATAATTTAATAAAGATTGAATAAATACAATAAGCAACCGCTTAGTATGTATTATTTTAAGATTAATCGAAAAAACATTTAAATAATTAACATTTTTTTGAAATTGGCGGGTCAATCTTAAGTCAATTAGCATATCCGGCTTCCTGTAAAAGTGACAGAAAAACTTAAAGGTCAAAGAATCGCATATTTTTTCTTAAGGTAAGTTAATTTAAATTTTTTGTTAATAATTTTAGGTATAAAAAAGACAATTTTTTTATTTAAACATCATTTTGTTTTATAATTTGCACTGGTTGTATTTAAAATCCTTCAAAATGCCTGAGAAAAATTATTATTGGTAAAAATCTGTTTGTTATTACATATTGTTGTGTAGCATTGTTAATTTAACGTAAATAATATAATTGTTCATGTAGAACATGTGGTATTTTTGAAATAAATCACTTTTTAAGTGACATAACCTTAAAATCTTAACCATATTTTTCGTTTCAGTCCGGATAATTTCTTTAAAAAGATGACGGATCTGGAATCGCCTAGGAAAAACAATGACTGCTATTTCTACTATTATTCCACATGTGCAAAAGTAAGTAAATATTGCAAAAATTATCAAAATCTTATGGCCATATGTAGGTTGTGCAGACCTCGAGACCTTGTGCTCAAAATTTGTGCATTTTATGTTCTCAAGTATGTTCAACTTAAAGACCAAATCTATTGCTGGAATTATTTTTTGTCATTATGATTTTCAACTCTCTCAAATTTTTAACACATTTAGTTTAAATTGACTTTCTTAAAACAGTTACCTATATCTAGCTTCTTAAAATAGTTATATTTATGCTTAAAAGGCATCCCTAAGACAGTCATATCTTGTAGCTTAAGTCAAAAATAAAACAGTAATAGTATGATATAGCTATTATATTAAATGATATAGCTATTATATTAAAAAAAGGAAATGGTGATGCTTCTAGGACCAAAACGCACAAACTACTACTATTTTTGAGTAACAGCTATTAAATCACCAATATTATTATTATTTGTTGTATATTCTTATCAAGGAGAAACATGCAATCTAATGTACCTATATAAAAAAAGATATTTTTAAGAATTATGAACTGTTGTATAGTGTTTTTAATTTAATACATAGGTAATACCAAGTTCTTAAACTATATTTTAAGCGATTTTAAGTAACTTTTACGAAAATTAAAAAACAAATCTGGACCAGGTTATGAACTTCATTATCCTTTCTCTTGTAAAAGGTGGCCATCAGTACTTTTTTGTGGATCATTTAAAATTATAATAAATAATTGTTAGTTTGATGATTCAAATTTTTCAAAATGGCGGCCTTTGGAATTTTTAGTATAAATTTTAGGGAAATAAGAGTTTTATAAAAAAAAATTTAATGCCTAGAATATGCAATATAAATTTTATCCAAATCCACTGAGGTTTTTTTAAACTATGGCCATTGTGTCTTAAAATTTTTGAGGAATACTAGTTTAAACTTTAAACGCGTTGTGAAACTTTCACAACTTCCTTTGTAAAATGGATCTACAGTTATTGTACAAAATTTTATCGCAGCGATTTTAAAATTTCACAGAATACTTTTGAAGTATTGAACTTAAAAAACATATGTTTAACTTGGCTAACTATTTTTTCTATGCTAATGCATAAGCATAGAAAAAATAGTTGCAATAGTTACAATTGTGTAATAAACCTGTCAACCCTAGATAGAACTATCTTAACAATGTTAAATTTAATAGTAGGTATTAACATAAAAACATAAAAAATCATTCTTTATTTAAACCAGAATTTAAACCAGAAAATTGTACAATTCATACAGTTCATTCTCTCAGATTCTTATAAATTACAGCTAAATAAATTACAATCTTACAATCAGAGTACTCATGTATGAGAGATAATGCGCATAATCTTGAGTATAATAGTATACTCCAATAAGTAGATAATTAATTGATTTTCAAAAATAATTAAATAAAATCTGACATCTGTCAAATGGTTACGTAACCTCACTTTTTACAAATTTTAAATGTTATAGTCGCCTTTTCCCAATTTAAAATCTGATTGGTTCAAATTACAGTGAATATTGAAATCGGCCAATCACTGATGCCTAACAACTTAAATAATGAATTCAATATTCCTGTTGTTAGGCAGGAAATAATATTTATCATTATTCACAAAAAAACTAATATTATGCAATAGGAGAAGATAAATATAAATAAACTTTCCTTATCTATGGGTATAACCATAAAGAAGGCATAAAATAAAGTATAGTAATCAAATACATGCTTTTGACTTTGCACAGCATTCTAAGCGCCGCCATTCTTAGCTGTATTAACCATAGACATATTATTCTTGTGTATTGAACTGAACCTCAAAGGGACAAGTTTGTTTTGTGTATTATTAAATCACGCAAAAACACAAAAACACAAAAAAGCGACGCCATTTTTTGGTTCACTTTCTGCACACTTCACTATGACGTGCTGTTTTAAGAATGTCAACTGTCTTATGAGTGTTAAGTTAAGCTAGATATAACTGTCTTAAAAATGGAAGAACAAAACCCTAAACTATGTACTTTTTTTAGGGTGATAGCTGCATGTTTCGACATGAACCGTCTGCGTTAGGCTGTGAAACAATGTGTTCATTTTGGAAGGAAGGAAAATGCTTAAATGTACACTGCAATTTTAGACACATGGAATTGAGGGTAAGATAAAAAAATATTGTGCGAAAAATGTTATAATGATTGTAATGTTGTAGAAAAATCGTAAAGTAATTCCTTGCTATTGGGAATCGCAGCCTGGAGGCTGTAAGAAACCACACTGCCCTTTTATGCATCAAAGTAAAACCGATGAGGAGAATATGGAGAAGTCTGACATAACTAAAGGTACGATGACTTGATATTTATTTGGTGGACAGTTTTAACTTTTTTGTTTTTAGAAAAAATGAATGCTGACATGGTGGTATCAGAAAAATGTCAGGCAAACGAAAACTATAAAAATTCAGGTGTGGACAGTCTAGTGGTGAATTTCGAAGAAGGTATGCAACTAGTTAAATAATAGTTTTTATGAAAATTATGGAACGAGAGCAGCTAATTTTTGCAGAATATTTGTTTTTGTTTTGTTATGATTATTTCATTTTTAATGTTTTTTGTTTGTTCCTGTTATAATTCTTATTAATAATAACAAGTTTATGGATGTTGCTATGCTTGAAAATTAGTACTTACATATATTTAAAGGATTTAAAGCATATTCACGATTATGATTTGTAAAAAAAATTACGAAGCAATAATGTTGGCTATGATTATTTGTACTTTTTTATGTGCCAAACACAAAAATTATCTGAAATTAAATGCTTTGAATTTTTATGTATTAATAAAAATATAATAACAAGTCTTGAATGTGATAAGTATAAAAATTTTTGTATCAGTTGAATCATTTAACAAGGTGCATTCTTGTTAAGTTTAGCCTATATTATTGGGGTGTTGGAAATATTTATACCTACTATTCAATTGTAGTATTTATTGTTAGAATATTCTAATGCAAGGTGATTTTAAAACCATTTAAATTATTTTTTGAGTGAAATTTTAAATGGTTTTAAAATCATTTCAACTACTTCTATTGTTATTGTACATATAGCAAAATAATCAATTGGCTTTTTTTCTGTAAAATGCACAATAAATAAAACGTGCTTTATTCATAATTATGTTTCTGTTTTGCCATATGTACAAAATTGTTTGTACAATATAATCTAGAATAGATCTTTTATTATTATATATTCCGAGGAATTGCCTTATTTATGTTGAGTTTTATATTATATATATTACATGCTTGAAGTAAAGACAACTTATATTGAGAGGTTTTGAATATTTTTTTGGTAATTAATTAATTTAAAAAAATGTTAATTTATTTTTATTGTATTTTATGATACCATTAAAGTTGTTTTCTTTTGTACCAAAGCGTTGTGTTTTTTTGCCAGTATTTCACTGCAAGAATGCACCATTTGTGTCTTTCCCAGTATCAGTCATTAACTAAATTCAACTAAAAATGGTGTATTTTTGCAGAATCTGATACTGAATTGGCTCCACCAAACTCGCCCAATAAACAACAAAGACTTGTCAAAGTTAAAACTTTGGAGGAAATTAAATTGGAAAAAATACAAGAAGAATCAGCCGCATATTATTCATACACAGGTAAAAATGATTTTTTGTTTTTAAGGGGTCAATTTTAACTAAAAGAAGGTTGTAATGATCCTCTTAAAGAAGCTATATTTATGCTAAGTAATTATTTAAGAATTGTTTACATCAATTTAAAACTAATAGAAATCGCTGGTTTGGTTATTTTCTCATGACATATTATGGGAGGTTTTCTTGAAAATTGCTTTTTATGGAGATAAGTTTCTATAGAAAGTAAGGTTGCAGATTTCAAGAAAGCGTTAAAAAACATAAACATTAGGGTGGCCCAAAAAAAAAATATTTTTTTCGTCTCTTGTGAAAATATATTAGTTTATCATGTTTTAATTAAGAGCTTAAGAGCCCTGTCAAAAGATCAGCTTTATTAAAAAATTTCTGGTCTCTAGATTTTTAAAAATTTCCAAAATCGTCAAAAGTTGAATTTTTTTCTCGTTCCGATATTATTTTCTAACGCAGAAACGCTTTAAAGTTTCTTGAAATATGAAAATGTTCAAAAGTTTGTCAGAAATATTTCTAAAAAGTTTCAATGATTAAAAATAAAGTTTCTTTTATAATAATAATAATAAATAAACTTTTGTTTAAAAAAACAGGAAAAATATTTTCAACCACCCATTTTAGGCCAAAATCTTTTAAGAATTTTAACTTAATTAAGATGGACATGTTTTAAGAAAGTGCTTCTTAAGCTAACTTTAAGAATGTCAATTTAATTTATAGAATATATGAGTACATTAGATGCAAAACTCGGTTTTTGCAAATTTTTAAAAATATATATTTTATCCTATTTAATATATTTAATATAATAATTTAATTTAATAGTATTTATGTAAATTACTGCACTGCCTACAGCATACCTAAGTAAACCAGATGTATAAGTTAGTATTTGTAGAATAAAATACATTTTTAAAAACTTATCGCAGATGCAAAACTGGGTATTTGTTTCTACCTGTTGGATGCAAAACTCGGTATTTGCTGTTGACCAATCACGTCGCTACACGAAGAAAAAAATATAATAAATGATATTAGAAATATAATACTATTTATTATATTTTACGTTAAATATAGTGACAGCTAAATCGTATGATACATTTTAATACAAAAATATTATATTATAATTAAGATATATTGTGAATATAATATTATTTTATATTAATCCGCTTTAACATATTACTTTATTTGTATTAAATAATATTTAATAAATATTAAGTTAAAAGTGTAAAATTAATAAATGATATAATACTATACTTAATCAACCGTATCATAACTTCAATCATATGACGATTATAATATTTTTATGAATCTTATTAAGATCCAGTTTTTTGATTTATATAATAATTTAATTTACTTTCTATTATACAAATTTTAATATGTATACGTTTTTTAACATACATTTTTCTCCGTGTAGTATAGGCATTATAAGACGACATAACAATCACCTGATTAATTGTTATTTTTTGGTATTTGCACTTTTCACTTGCAAAACCTGGTCTTTGAACGAGGAAGATGCAAAACTATAGTTTTATATATGTTTTTAAATATTTTGATTACAAAAAAATCCTTTAAAATTAGGTATTTTAGTTAATTATTTACTAAAATACCTAATTTTAAAGGATTTTTTTTACTTTTTTGAATAAAAATGATGCAAAAGCACGCCTATACAATTTTTGCATTTTTTTTTTCAAAAATGATCTTTTAAGCGGTTTTTCATGTTTTTCTTAAAATCATGATTTTAAGAAATACATGTGCACGTATCCTGCAAATACAGAGTTGTGCATCTAATCTGCCCTGCTAAGATGAAAGGTCCTACTATAAAATTTTGTAATAAAGGACAAAAGATTGTTATAACAATAAAAATGATTGTTATAACATTAAAAATGATCTTTTGTCCTTTATTACAAAATTTTGTAGATAGGACCTTTCATCTTAGCAGGGCAGTAATGTACTAGTACATATCTGTGATAAGGATATCAACCCATTGAAACTCATGTCCTGTGAAATTCAGGAAACCTGGCTACCCTTAATTCACATGTTTTATATATTTAAACTATTTTCCCGATACCATAATAAAAACATAATTTTAGGCTACCAACAACCGAACATGAACGCCGACAACCTAAGAAAGCGAATCATGGACCGCCTAGGCGAAAAAGTATCATCGAACCCAGCATTTTCAATGGAAAGGAGAGCCCAAAAACGAGAAACCGAAACGGAGCTAGAAAACAGACCCAAAAAATTCAAGCAGGACGTCACGGAGATAAAAATAAAAACGCTGGCTGAAATACGGGCGGAAAAGAGAAAGAACCAGCAAAATTCTAGCTCTGGGGAGAAGAAAAGCAAAATCGACGAGTCGGAAGTTACCAGCACGAGTGATACATCAGAAAGCACAAAACTAGAAGTGAGCCCCAAACGCAAGATCAAGCTGCGCAGAAGACCCATATTGTTGGACAGCAATACACCAAATAGTACACAACCTGAAGAAAATCCACCAGAAAAGACTGAAACGCACGAAAATGTGGTTACAAACAGTGGTGAAATGCCAGAAGAAAAATTATTTGAAACCGACTACCTTCTGGAAGAAAAAGAGAAATCAAAGAAACGCCTAGATAGAAGTGACAGTAACAAAACAATGGATGATTTTCTTTTAGATGATGATGAGGATGATGGCAATGAAGTCAGTATTAGAGCAGAAGAAGATTTATTAAATGAAATTGATAGTATATTGGATGACTAAACATCTACTATTTTTTTTAATGATAACAAACCACGTAGTAATAATTTACCCAGAACATATTCTTATACATGTTATTTTATTATTATAGTTATTTTTAATTTATCTTAATGAATTGTTAGTTTCATTGTTTTTACTTAGGTTCACAGAGCATAACTTATATATCAAAATATCAAATGGTCTCAAATAGTACCCATTCTAGTACTTTAATTAATAAATAATAGGGTACTAAGTTTAAATTTTAAACAAGTGTTTTATTTTTAATTAACATTTTTTAAAAAGGACAAAAAATATTGTAATTGGAAGAAATTAATTTTTAATAATACATACCATATTTTGTGTCCTTTATTATAAAAAATATTACTTCATCCACTTGCCCCTTTAATTCTGATAACAGAAAACGAAAATATACCAAAGCAGCATTTTTGGTTCCAAAAACCAAAAGTAATTCTAAGTTTTAAATAGCAATATTTTGTAACAGAAACTTCATTCTTTCCTAACGAAAGTGCGGTTTGATTTTTTGGAAAAATTATTTGGGCAACTTTTTTTTTCATGTTTTTCAGAAAAAGTTTTCCCCTTGGTCCCCCCTTATGAAAAAAATATCGCGTTTTTCGAGTGTAACTTCCAAACGCGAGGAGATACGAAAGTGCGGTTTGATTTTTTGAAATCAGCGTGCTCGAATTAGTAAAGAAAAATTTTTGTTGCAACTTTTATTTTCATGTTTTTCAGAAGAAAAAAATTTTTGCAACTTTTTTTTTCATGTTTTTCAGAAAAAGTTTCACCTTGGTGAATATCGCGTTTTTCGAGTGTAACTTCCAAACGCGAAGAGATACGAAATTGCGGTTTGATTTTTTGGAATCAGCGTGCTCGAATTAGTAAGGAAAAATTATTTTTGCAACTTTTTTTTAAGGGGGGACCCTTATGAAAAAAATATCGCGTTTTTCGAGTGTAACTTCCAAACGCGAAGAGATACGAAACTGCGGTTTGAGTTTTTGTAATCAGCGTGGTCGAATTAGTAAAAAAAAATAATTGCGAAACTTTCGATTTTATGTTTTTCATGAAAAAAATATCGCGATTTTCGAGTGTAACTCCCAAACGCAAAGAGATACGAAACTGCGGTTTGATTTTTGCTTGGGTAAGGATACAAAGCACAAAAACACCATATTCTAGAAACTATTTAATGCCACATCCTGCTTAAAAACATACTCTTTAACATATCCAGCATTTTTCATACAACTTTTATTACAAGTATAAATGGCTATAACCCCCCAATCCAACTCGTCCTCCTTCAACATTGTAAGTAATTGAGGCATAATCTGAAACTCAAATTGCCTTGCACTTCCACATAACTCACACTCAGGAATCGTTACTGGTATAGGTTCGCTGGCAATCCATAATGGCTTACCATTGCGTTGATACCTTAATATTTGGTCTGGATTTTCCGATATCTTCTTTTTGAATTTCGAGAATGCTTTGTCAGTGTCTGTGGTGGCGTGGGCGTCTAAATCTGACTCAGGAATTTCGTTAAGTGTACCTGTTCTACCTTCAGATTGTAATTTTTTGAATTCTTCTATTTCTTTGTTCTCGTCTGTTGTGTTTTCTGTTATATCCTCAGGCTCTATAACAATCTCGTGCTGTGGGAATAATATTGACGATTTTCTGTCAATTTTATCGAAATTACATTCAGTTTTGTGCCCTTCTTTCCAATCCAGGACTTGATGCTCCCGTTCACAGTATGCAACTTTCTTACATTGACTGCAATGTTTTTCCGCTAAGCTTCCACATAAATTACACAACTTCACCCATTTACTTGTATCAAAAGTCAAATCAGGCTCCTCTTTCGGAGCGTCAAAATCATAAAACTTATTCTGCCTTCGTAAACTACATCTCAAAACTCCAATATTCCTCGAATCATTTCTCTCGCAACAACCACCATTTCTACAAACAAAAACGAACAACGTTCTGTGAAAATTGTCGTCGTCATCCTCAATGGGGGCGTAAATCTGGCACAAAAACAACATAACCTTTCCACATTTTCCGCATTTTAAATCGTCGACTTTCGGCAGACTTTCCAGATCCAACCAGGCCGGTTTTCCGCCTACTTTGCTCGGAAAAAGGCGACTCTCAACCTGCCAGTCGTCACAATCTTCCAAAAAACCCAGATCAACATGAGACATCTTGGAAAGTGGGGTTATGTTCTGTGATGTGAAATTTTGTAACTTATGCAACTCAGATTGCAATAATGTTTATTTTTTTGTCCTCGAGCTGTGGTTTAATCGCTACCTCTGTGGACTATTAATTAATTATTTAATTATTATTATTTTATGGTATTTTGGTTGTTGCACTGTAATTTCATGCATGTACTTTGGCCTTTTTCGGACAAAAATTAACTATTTAATTGTTAATTCTACTCTTTAATAACAGATAATTGATATTAGGGTAATTATGAGAATTTCTGGTCTTATTTTTTGTAAATAATTAGGTACCTAATTATCCTTGTATTTAAAATCAATGTTTAATCGTTTGATGAGGTTATTGGTGTATTTAAAATGCATATAATTACGAGTGTTTGTTAGGTAATAAACATTTTGTAATTGTTTAGCAATTTTCTTGTTTTATGTTAAGTTTAGTTAAGAAAATACACATCTTTCGTTTTAACGGTTTGGGAAAACAAGTGAATGCAATAAGCGCACGTAATTTGATGCGCTTAGTATTTTGTTTATGTTTAAAAATAGTTGTAAACGAATAATTTAGTCGTGTTACAGATTGTCAAGCAATCGCCCTACTCACTATTTTTTCGCGGTTCTACGGTCGTTGATATTATTTTTTTATTAATATTATTATTATTATGCACTGGGGGAGACGCAGTCGCGTGTAGTTTTATTTTTACCGGGTCGCCTTGAATGTTGCACCGCCAAGTTTTCAATGAGAAGACGGAATAGTTTTCGTTTTCAATTTCGTTTTGTTTACATCCAGAATCTTGAGCTAAGATGGTGAGGTTTGATGGGTTTTTGTTTTGCTGGTTTGTTTTATGTTTTGTGTTTTTAGGATTTAAAATTGTTGGTTTTAGTGGGTAGTTTAGTTTATTTCTTAGGTAAGAAGTTTTTTATATTTATATGAACAATTAGTTATTTTTTTGTTTATTGCAGATTTAGCAGATTTTTATTCCGCCTGATAAGCTATTTATTTAAATTAATAATGGTTTTAAATAATGAATTTAAAAAATAATTACCATAAAGAGATAATTTATATTAAAAATTGCCTTTGAAATTAACGCTTAAAGTTAATGTTTCATAAAATTTCAAATATAAATTAATTTTTATTTAGGAATTTCATGGAAAATAATTTTATTTTGTAAAAATGTTTATTTTTGTCATAAAATGTTTTGAATCATAAAACTCAATAATTGTAAATTGTGCAGGGACGAAGATAAGTGCTGCCCTAGTATTAGCCAATAAAAAACTATAAAAAGTAAAAGGTTATTGCAATTAAAAGTTGCGAAATTCTTGCCTAAACGTATTTAGCAATATATTATTCTCTAAATTATTTATTTATATATTTAATAAAAAAACGATACCTTCGCAGGTACCCATGATTACTTGGATTAGAATTTAGAATAAATTAAATTACAATGCAGCAATAAAAGAATTTAATTATGATTTGTATATATTTTTACCTTGAATAAAAAATAAATATAGCAATCTCAATAAAATGTATCCTGTTATTTGAAAACAAAAAATGTCATTTGTTGGTATTTTTGTAATTTAAGATTTTAAAGATTTTTTTTAGATAATTAATCTTTTTTGTGCTATTTTTAGATGCTTTACCTGTGATAATAGAAATAGAAAATTTCATAGATGACTGGAACTACCAAATAGAGCCTAACAGCGTTCCACTGTTAAATAGTACAGGGAAAAGACACGTATTGCCCACAACCAGGGTAAGATGTAATGCTTCTTGGGAAATTTTAATCCAAATAGTTATATTACATCACGAGGTATTTTTTCTACAAAGCCTTTTTCTTCTTTTTTTCAAGTACCTACATATTTAGGTAATTTTGATATTTTACCATACCTTATTTTGAAAAACTTTATTATTAAAAAAAATATTTATTAAGGTGGGAAAACACTTTTTATTTTTTTTAACAGGTAAAAGGCGTAGTTTGCCGTTCTTTAAAACCATCAAAACAATTGTTATTTTTGTGTTTTTTAAACGTTTTATTTACTTTTTTAAATAAATTTATTAAAAACCATTTTGGTTGATTCATTAATTTTACATCAAAAAGCATACCTATAGGTATAAAGGAAATAAATAAAAAAAATAATATTGTCTATTTCCGATATTTATATAAATATAATATTTTCGAACCCTGAAAAGTAGTAGGTAGGTACTTTTAGATGGAATAAAGATATTTGTGAAGAAAATTATTTCGTGATGTAACGATTTTTTCTCTATTTGGATTAGAATATCTCAAAAACCTAAAAACCACATAATATTATGGTAAAATTATTTTCAATTAAACATTTAAAATCAAATTAATAAAAATAATTGATCCAGAAATTGTAAAAAATCAATTATAAAATTAAAAAGACTGTTGACGCAACAAAAAAATGTTACAAATTAGGGTTTTAAAATTTCCAGAAAAATTGAGCCGGCGCCCAAGAACATGTAGTTTTAAAGAGCCGGGGGTATGTTGGGGCAGATAATTTATTGATGGTTTGATAGACAAAACTCTAAGCTATTCAACGGATCTTGAACTGATGCCTTACAATTCATTACAATTTTTGTAGCTCCATTGTTCTAAAAGCTCGATTCAAAGTTTGCGATTTTAACAGACCGATCTTGTCGGTTACAATAACCCGTTGTACAAGCAAAATCTACGAAAAACAAATACATATCTGAATTTTACATACCTTGAAGATCACCCTTCATCAAACCGCATAACAATCGGACACACCAAACACAAGTTATTCACTTTTAAACAATAAACAATTTTCCACAGCGATCGCGTGTAAAGTACCTTCAACTGAAAGCGTCAAGTTTAAACTAATGTACAAGACAAAATATACGTATTTTATGAATTTTTTTTTCAATAAAGGATGGATACAGGTATTAACTACCCATCTAACTCAAAATTTTCCTGAAAAAAAATGTCAATTTTTTAGGTTTTGCCGATATTTTCGAGAATTGAAACACTGAAAAAAACCGTTTTTTCCGAAATATTATGATTAAAATAGTTAATTTTAATTTAGAGAGAATATTCTACCGGGCCGCAAAAACACATATTCGTTGCTGTATTAACATAATTTTATTTGACACTTCGATTTATAAAATTATAATTTTGTAATTTATCTTTATAAATCAATCATTATTTTGTAATTGGATATTTTTAATAGACTCCTTCTTGCAAAAAAGACCCAACCGACAGTATATAAATATATATATTTATATATATTTATTTATATTTATTAAATATTATTTAACGTTTACGTTTATTCTCTTAAATTAAAAATAATAATAATAAATAATATTTCTTCTTGTAATAAAGGATATTTTTTTAAATTAAAATAATTTTAAGTTGTTCATTGCTACTGTTTTTTAAATGTGTATATTTTCCAAAAAAAAATCATTTTTTTTTCCAAAAAGAGCCAATTTTTCCAAGGCCTGGGAAAAAACGAAAAAAAACCGGAAAAACAGGTTTTTCCCCAATTTTTACTTTAAAACCCTATTCCTAATACAAATAAACTTCGAAAAATATATTAAAAACAATTAATAAAGGTTTGATTAAAAATCTTGAAATTTTATTTTGAAAATTTGGGAAATTTAATTTTTTTACATTTTTTTAGAACAACCCCTGCGAATTTTCCAACGAATTTTTAAATTGATCCTACCATTTTTTAAATGTTTCACGGTGTTAATTTGTCCTACCAATTTTTAAATGTATCATACTGTGCGAAATATCCTTCCATTTATAAAATGTATGCCAATGTGCAAATTTGTCCTATCAATTTTTAAATTTATTCTACTGTGCGAATTTGTCCAAGCACTTTTTAAATTTTGTTCGAATTGTGGCAGTTTTCAATTACCGAAACATTATTTTTAATGTGCAATTTTCAATTACCCGGTTTAAATAAATTAAATGTTAGGGCAGTTTTTAATTGTGTAATTTTTCCCCGACCCTATGCTCTTAATTTTCCGTGAGACGCTGAAAATCTAATGTTTATTTAATTTTAGGTAATCATAAATGAAACACATCATATTCAAAAAATAAAACCCAGAAGGTCAAAAGCCGTAGGAAATGTGGTGAAGTCCAAAATATCGTGTAGCTCATGTAAAATAGGTATGTAATTTCCAAATAATGTTTATCTAAGAAACGATGACCATTAAAACGCGACATGCGTAAACAAATAATTTATTGTTTATCCCGAAACCCCAGTATATAATTTATTCAAATTAAAACAATCTGCATTTCATAAAAAAATATTTTTATTTTTGCGAAAATTTAAATTTTAATCGCCTTATTTTAATTTATTTTCATATCAGCTAGGTACCTATATGAATTTTTAATCAATTCGATGTTTAAAACAAATTATCTTGGTTTACATTATAGGGACTGGTTATACAGATTAAACATGGACTAAAAACCTTTACACATCATTTAGAAAGCGACATAAATTTTTGTAATTCATATTTAATTCCGTGGCGTTATGTAATAACGTTTGATTCACATTTTTGTTTATGAACTCATTTAAAAAATATTTAACTAAATAAACATTTTTCGTGAAAAATAAAAAATATTTTTCTTTGTAAACAACAATTTAAAGCCAAGTTAAAAGTTAAGTCAAAAATATTCCATTTAAATAGATTTGATAAGACAGTTTGTATTAAAGCAAAATGCACAGCCTTGACAGCATAAAAGTTTCTATGAATTATATGAATTACATTTACAATTAAAAACACAATTATTCACTACGATCACTTAGATCAAATACACACACTAACGTAACTAAACAAGCATATAAGCGTTGAGTTTTTTAATCAATGATAAGGAATAATAAATCGAAATCAAGTACTAAACCTAAGTTTTTACTTGCAACGCGAAACACAAATAACGTGCGCGATTTAGATGTGCAATTGAAACTTTGCAAACAAAATTTGTGGAGTAAGACTTCTGCCTTCCTTTCACAAAAAGTTATTTATTTATTTAAAAACGATGTGCAGTAGACTGGGCCAAAAAAATCATCGCAATTTTAGATTTTTTTCCTGAGCGAGTTTTTGTCTCAGGACTCGCAAACCATTGTGTTTAACAGACTATTTTTTAAAGAAAATTGAATGCTCTACAAAAAAGGTTTGATTGGAATTTCCCGTCAGATGAACCGTTTTCTTACAATCATGCCTTAAAAATTGGTATAGTCAGGGCCGGATTAAGACAATTTGTTGCCCTAGGCCAATAATAATAGCGCCTATAATTACAGCCTATATAAGTACCTATGGTATTAATATAACACAATATATGTTAGCTGACAGGGGGGACAAGTAGGGTTTTATAAAAAACAAGTAGGGTTTTATAAAAAACTTTGACGCCTTTCTGCATTATTTATCTGAAAACTGGTGAGGCATTATTTTATTAATGTAGAATTCAAATATTTAAGTAAGATCGAATCCAATCTAAAATTTTCATTAAATTTTGTGGCATACGATATTTTATAAGAACATCTTTAGAAAAATGTAAAATTAGTCTTGTCGTTAAGTTACATTTACGTTATTTGTGTAACTGTGGGATATAGATTTTATGATTACTAAAATCGTTACCGACATTTATTTTTTTACTTTTATTATTAAATAAAAAAAAAATATCAAAAAATTAATTTTTAAAATATCACCAACGATATTTTGCCAAACAATGTTTGAAAATGAAATTCTACATTAGCTTTCTTTGAAAAAAACGAACGATTTTTATTCACAAACCAGTATTTAACCCATGGAGCCTACACAAGGAACCCGAACTTAATAGGGGAAATTGAGAAAACCTGCCCTCTAAATTGTACAAATTAAGTTTCTTTTTTTCACCACCAGCGGCGCTAATTGTCTAGCCTTTTGGTACAAATTAAACAATTGTTTCAGAATAAACGGAACACCAGCGCCCTCTTATCTTAGGAAGATTCTTGTTTACATGATGTTCGGACTCCTTATGTAGGCTCCATGATCTAACCCATGGTACCATGATCCAACCGTTATAAATTTAAATCAAATTATTTGAAGCTAGAACAACATACAATTACTACAAAAACACTTTTAACGAACCACACTACGTAAAAACAATTATAATTAGGATAACTATTAATAATGCAATGAAAAAAAGGAATTATAAGCTTTTGATCAAATAAAATATTGTTTTAAAACTTGGTAGCAATCACTACGATGCAGGTATACTCACGAATAAACTGTTTAGAGCGGAAATAACGCCTTGATAGATCAAGGCGGGAGCACAATATTATCGTAAGCGACACAATGTTAAATCGCAAACGCCATGTCTCGGTTTTGCTTACGATTATTTGTCGTGAACATATAGGCGCTTACATTAAATATCGGTAACAAATTAAAAAGAAGAGTCGCTTACAATAATAAAAATATTCAAACTGACCAATATTAGATTCCAAAATTGGGATAACTATTATGTTAACATGTGCAGCTTATCGTAACTGACACTTTGATAAAATTAAAAGTAATTCAACAAAATTGTCGCTTACGATGTTTTGTCAAATAACCATCGATATGTGCCTTTAAAATAAAAAAGGGTATTACACGTTTGATAATTATAATTATTTATTTTAATTGATTAATTTTAATATGCAACCTACTTAAAAAAATTGAGCCTTCTGCCTGGGTGCCTATTGGCTTCGCGGCGCCCTAGGCCATGGCCTAGGTTGGCCTATAGGTTAATCCAGCACTGGGTATAGTTTTGTAATTCATGTAAAAATCAGTACCCAGAAAAAAACCAATAGATATTCTCATGTGCTCTCTTAAAATTGTTGGCTAAATTCACTCCATCAAAAGTTATTCAAGGTTAAATTTGTAGTCAAAACAAAATTCTTGTTTTTTTGCTCTAGATTTTTTTTGGCTCAGTTAAAAACTTGAATTCTTTTATCAATGATAATCTTTATGTTATTTATAAAATTACTGAAAATTTAAAAAAAATAACTCATTCGATTTTTTTCGCTTTAAGAAGCTATAATAATAATAATTGTCTTTAGAAAATATTATTTTCACTGTTACCTATTTAATCGTTTAAATAATAACAATCATGTTGTTTTTTATTGGAAATTGTTAATTAGTTATATAATACACATTTAGAAAGAAAGAAATCAAATTATCATCCATAAAAAATAAATCTACAGAGGAAAAAACAAGAATTTCGTTTTGACTTCAACTTTAACCTTGAATAACTTTTGATTGAGTGAATTTAGCCAAAAATGTTTTTTCTGGGTAATAATTTTTACATGTATTACATAATTCCAAAGTTAAAAGATCAAAATGTATAATTTTTAAGGCATGATTTTAAGGAAATGGTTTATCTGACGAAAAATTTCATTTTAACCTTTTTTGTAGAGAATTTAATTTCCTTAAAAAATATATCTGAGTTAATTTTGTTAAACTTAATGGTTTGGGAGTTCTTTTTGATATACTAACTTTTCAAAAAAAAAATTGTTGATTTTTTTGGCCCAGTCTAATGTGCAGTTCCTATATGCTTTAAATGTATTGTTGGCAATTCTTGAATTCCTTTACATCGTCCCATTCTGTTACGAGGGGGGGGGGGTCAATTTTGAACATTTTTAGCGTCACGAGATTTATGGACGTACCCTAATTAATGTTCAAATTTAATTAATGAAAACTACCATAAAATTAATACCAATAAACTATTTTGATTTGTAATAATGAGGGCAAATTTTTCAAACATCTATTAGATTTAAAATAACAAATTTTTCTAGATAATTCCAGTTTACAAGAAATACACCAGTATCTACTGGATTTAATAATGTTTAACAATCTTTATAAAGTGTATATTAAACTAAATATAATTAATTTCCTGTCCAGGTGCAAATCTGTTGTTAAACGAAGTAAACAGAGGCTCGGAATTCGAAGTCATCAAACAAAAATTTGTCGGCATCTGTTCCGGCTTAAGACTGGAAAGTACCAAGGTCTGTACCGGAGTTTTCGATGTTTACGGACCTCATGTGGTACCGGTACTTCAAACAGTCAAATTGGGTAATACATTTATGGAGAAGATTTTTTTAAAGGTTATTCATGTGATTATTTCTTTTTAGAGCCTTTGGAGATTTGCAGTTTATTGCTAGGCGAACCTTGCGGCGATGTTTCCATTCCTAAGCACGAGTGGACTGTACAATTGCCAGAAACCCCAAAGCCAGATGTTACCAGTTCCCCCATACCAGAGGTACTTAACATTCTTTAAACATCTCTTAAGGTTTGTAGTAATAATGATAAATTTATCTCTTGCAAGGAAATAATGGAAGGGATAAACTAAAACTATAAGTGGCAACATCGTATATATAATTCACACGATATTCTGTTTTTGATGAGGAATATCTTTGCTCTCACCCCAACTTCTTTGGGTTGAAATATTTCAAACACGATTCAATTTCAAATTCAAATTTATTCATCATTAGGGTGTACATTAATTAGGGTGTGCCAAAAAAACTCGATATTTTTTTTTCTTGCTCTCCACCCAAAATATCGTAGAATATGTCCGAACAAATATTCTGTTAAAAGCGGAGCTCATAATTTCAATTTTAAGAGGTCCTTCATCGAATCTGAAGTTTTGCCGTTTAAATAACACAGAAAACTGACTTTTTTACCTTATTTATTCTTGCAACCTAGGAAGAAATTTTTTGTTCATAAAATCCATGACCAAATCTTACAAAGCATTACATTTGGACGAAAAAATCTTATTAAGCCGAATTTCTATTTTCATTATTTGATTTTTTACAGACCTTTAAAAAATCTTATTAAGCCGAATTTCTATTTTCATTATTTGATTTTTTACAGACCTTTAATAATACAAAAATGATGACTTTATACGCCTGTAACTTTTAGAATATTGACGATACAAAAAATTCGACAGATAGACAAGCTAAAAAATTGTCTAACTTCAATAGTTTAGCTAAAAAAGGCAAAAAACGTAAAATTTTAAAAGTCAGTTTTCTGTGCTATTTAAGCGGCAAAACTTCAGATTCGATGAAGGACCTCTTAAAATTGAAATTATGAGCTCCGCTTTTAACAGGATATTTGTTCGGGCATATTCTACGATATTTTGTGTGGAGAGCAAGAAAAAAAATATCGAGTTTTTTGGCACACCCTAGTGTACATAATAACAAAGTGTTTATAAAACAATATCATTTAATTCTTGAAAAGCACCTAACCATAGGAAATTCCTGATAGGATGGTTGAATTGTGCATTTTTTAATAGTAAAATGGATTAAAAACATAAATCAATAAAATTATTTCTAACATTTGTATGCAAAGATAAAACATTAAATTAAAGTTTATGACAAACAATGAGAAAGGAATCCAAGTGGATCTCAAATAGATTTTAAATAGATTTTAAAGTTTATATAAAAGTTTATATGCAAGATTATATAAAGGTATAAATGCATGGGCTATTTATTTAAAAATCTATAGATTACATAGGTTAAAGAACAAAATTAAATTAAAACTTTTTAACTTTTTACCCTATAGGGTAAACCACTTAGTTATTGGACACTTATTTATTTAAAATTTATATAGGCCGTTGTTTTAAAGATTTTAGTTTTTTTCTTATAAATATATAAAAAGGATAGTTTGTTTGTTTAAACTTAATTTATGTTTACTTAATAATAAGAATATTTGAATTTTTAATAATAGTTTTATAAAAACATGCAAGAAAGTATAGTAATTGGACATTTTATATATATATAGTAATTGGACACAAAATTTTTATATAAACATAACAACTTTACATCAAAATTTGATAAATTTAATAACATAAAATGTTAAATATTTTTTAAAGAAAAATTGCTGTTTTAGGTAATTTTTTTTATTTCGTTTTTGTAAATATCATATAATTCAAAAATTTCTTTCTCGGATTCCTCATCCCTTTTCTGGATTCTAAAGGTAACTACTAATTTCTTGGTCTGACTTTTGAAATAGTTTGTTAAAAATATCATTAAATGTGGTATCTCTAGTTTGTGAAGCATTTATAATGTTTAGGCTGAAACAGGATGATTTATATATATCTAATATTTTTTCGGGTGGTATGTTAAAAGTATATTCGGAATTTATTAATTTTGTTGCCATTAGTTTTTTATGTTCTCTATCATGCACTGCATTTAAATTACTGTTATTCTGCAAGATGTCCTGTGACGAAGAAATCACTATATTACTCACTCTCTAAAAATGAATTAGTCAAAAATGTCATAGCGAAAAAGCAGCCACTAATAATTATCGTCAACAGCAATTTGTATCCAGGACATTTAGCAGTCAATTCCTATGATATATTATACGCTGAATACCAAAATGTCGTCAAAAGTTATAAGTAAAAGTTTTTGAAATATAATCAATTTTACATATAATATGGAATTGACTATATCTCAAAAACTGCTTAACTTTTATAGTTTTAGGATTCAGGGGACAATTTTACATAAGAATTGGCTGGTAAATGCCCTGGATATAAATAAAGTATGATATTGGACATATGTCTAGATAATAGAAATCGTCATCTAATGATTTGACTTTAAGGTAACTATTTATAGAACTCTTGTTTTTACAATATTAATGTTAATTGTCCAATAACTATAAAGTGTCCAAAAACTGTCTAGAGTAATATATATATTTTTTTGGTTTAAGGATATTTTATAATTTAATAAAATCACATAATTTTCTTTCATATTTTAGCCAGGTATGCCAACCTTTAAGGTCCTGCATCTGTCCGACACCCATTTTGATCCTGAATACGTAGCAGGCTCTCCTGCGAACTGCGAGGAACCGCTATGTTGCAGGATTGACAGCACACCATCGACAAAAGAAGCGATCATTCCAGCAGGATTGTAAATAAACTTTTTCGTATTCTATTATTTCTGCCCTGTAAGTTAAAAAGACACAAAAAGAGAAAAAAGTTTTGTGTAATGTAATGTGTATTTTTACCTTGTATGGCGGATTTATTAATGTCCCATATATAACCAGTTTATTTCTTATAATTTTTGTATTTTATATAAATTGATAGTCTTTTTTAGATGGGGTTCGTACCAGAAATGTGACTCACCCGGTAATATTATCACGAATATGCTTAAACATATTGCACAACAACACCCTGTAAGTACCAAAAGTAGAAAAAACGCATTTTGTAACATCACAAAATAGTTCTTCCCCACAAAACTCGTTATGTCATTTCCAATATGTTTCCTTATCTACTAGAAATCATTAATTAAAATGTATGATTAAAACGATAAATTAAATTTTTACACACACCAAACTCCAATGATTTTTTAAAGAGGAGAAGGGATAATGAAAAAAATCAAAAAAAAATTTAAGGGGAAGGGAAATACTAAATGGCGTAACGAATTCTTCTTATCCTCCTTTTTCTTCATCTGGACACAGAACAGTACCAGGTCCTGTATTCAGGTTTAAGCTTACTTAAAAGCTATATGGCCTCCCATTACTCTCTAAAAATGAATTAGCCAAAAATGACTAGTTTTCAAAGTGAAAAAGCAGTCACTATTAACTGTAGTCCACAGCAATTTGTATCCCGGACATTTAACAGCCCTGAAGAAGACCGTCAAAAATTATAAAAGTAGAGCAGTTATTGAGATATAGTTAATTTTCCATATTTGAAATTGGCAATATCTCAAAAAATGTTGTACTTTTATTACTTTTTCGAATTCAGCCTACAATTTTACGTAGGAATTGACTGCTAAATGCCCGGACATTACATACAAATTGCTGTAATTATGAGAAATATTAGTGGCTGCTTTTATGACAGTTGGTAATTTTTGACTCATTCATTTTTAGAGAGTATGTTTTAAAAAATTAAACTTTGATTAAGGGTCCTAATTTAGAAAATCTGAGTTTAACTTATCCCTCGATTTATTTATATACTTCTTTATAAATTAGTTATAACTATAGTTAGTATTACTCTTAGTAACAAAAATTACTAACTTAGTAACAAAAATTCTTCTTCTTACAGGTAGTGCTCTCTAAAAATGAATTAGTAAAAAATGACTAGTTTTCATAGTGAAAAAGCAGCCACTAATAACTAACTAATTTATATCCCTGACATTTAACAGTACATTCTTATGTAAAATGGTCCACGGAATTCAAAAATACCATAACAAATTATGAAAGTAGAGCAGTTCTGAGGATATAGTAAATTCCTTATTATATGGAAAATTGACTATATCTCAAAAACTGTTCTACTTTTAAAAATTATGAAGACATTTTCGGATTTAACGGACAATTGACTGCTAAATATCCGGGATACAAATTTCTGTTGACGAGAATTATTAGTGGCTGATTTTTCGCTGACAATTCATTTTAAGAGAGTAACCACTAATTTTTTAAAAAACGTCAACTTTACTCTCGGTTTGTTTTATTCTTTAAATATTTTCTAATGTTCTAATATTATTTTTCAATTATAAAAAACACTTAATTACCAGTTTACAACTCTGCAATTTTTCCAATCCTCCAGATAAATCCTTTATATTTAAAATTTTTAATAGTTTATTTCATATATTTTACATTCTTTGCACTATTGATTTGTTTAGACGAAATTTCTAGAGTTCTATGGTATAGTTTCATTTTAAACATGCTCCAACTGCACATACTTATTTCATTAATCATTTTAACTATCCCTTGTGGAAACCCTTAGTAAATTCATCCAACATTTGCTGATTATGTCATTTCAGTTCTGACCAGCTTATTTTTATTCCAAAAGTTCCATATTGTCCCCAAACACCAACTTGTCGCTTCAGCGGACAATATAAACCACAAAAATTAAAAAAAGTGTGTAGTCTGGTTTAGACCAACTATATGGGTATAAAATAGTTTTAAAATCATCATCATATTTTAGGATATAGATTTTATAATTTGGACTGGAGATTTACCGCCTCATGATGTATGGAATACTACTAGAACGGGAAATTTGGATATAATAAAAAAAATGTCACAAGAAATGTTTGATACTTTCCCCAATACACCTATTTTTCCTGCTTTGGGTAACCATGAGTCAAGCCCTGCAGGAAGGTAAACTATTTTAACATTTTGATTATTTTTTATAAAATTACATATTTTAGTTTTGCTCCACCATGGATGAAGGATGAAACCCATGGAATAAGCTGGCTATACGGTCAAATCCAAGACCAATGGAAAAAATGGCTGCCATCCTCCTCGGAAAATACACTTCTGCATGGAGGGTTCTACTCGGTTTTGTTGACGCCCGGTTTTAGGTTGATTTCGTTAAATAATAATTACTGTCATACACTGAGTTGGTAAAAAACTTGATTAAAGTTTTTGAAGTCGACTTATTTTGAAATTACTTGCAGGTGGCTATTAGTGAATAGTACAGATCCAGCTTCAGAGTTGACTTGGTTGGTATATGAGCTGGAACAAGCTGAAATAAAAGGAGAAAAAGTACACATTATAGGTAATTATAATTATATATGTATGTACGATATAAATAAATAAAAAGAGATCGACTATGACTCGAATTTCGATAATACGTTTGCACAATTTCTAAACATTGTAGTAGAATAAAATAGTCCATCCCAAGTAACACATTGGGTTTTATTATTTCTGTAACAGCATGTATTGTACTGCCAAAAAGCTTATGGTTTTATAAGGGTATAAATGAAATCCCATAATAAAGCAAACGTAAAACTTATAAGCGTTATGGTTTTATACAAAAGTAGGTTTTGTTGTGCCTAATATTCTATTAAAATAACATTGTTCTAAGAATAATTAAACTTTGTGATAACTCCCATAAACAAACCTAAACATCTTTTTAATATATAGGTAAAAGAAAAGAGTCACATGGGATGGTAAAACTCTAACACTTTGATAGTTTTAGAAACTTTTTTTTTCCAACATTAACTATGATTTCGCGAAAGAATCGAACGATCGATTTACAACACATCTCAGATTTTTTTTTAATTTTAATATTTTGTTTATACATCCAATTTAACACTAAATCTAAAATTTTTTTTTTATCTGACTTAAACTTTAGCTCCTAGAAACTATTTAATTTTGCCTTTTACAAAAAGGCCAAATTCTATTATTTTGGCATACATTTTTTATTAAAATACTGAATGATTTGAAATTTGGCCCATGTATGACCCCTATTAGTACCTACAATTGTGTCAAAAAAAAGTTTTAATTTTTTACATACAGGTGGCGCTGCATTTTTTTTTTCTTCGAAAGTAGACGTTTTTTAAAGACAAAAAATTCTCTTAAGCAACAATGCTCAAGAAAACTAAATAGCGTACCAGATAATATAGATATTCCTTTATAATTCGACATATAAAAATTTACTTGCAAATGATGTTGCCGCCCGTAAAGCCAACTTAAAGTTTGGTCTACCACATTAAAAAAAATTGAATTACACTTTCAACTCTATCCTTATTTTTAAACTAAGGAACTCCAGGTGATGGCTTTTATTGGTAACTAAAACGCAACAAAAAAAAAGTTTTATTTTTTTATATACAGGGGGCGCTGCAGCCTTTTTTTCAAAAATAGACGTTTATAAAGACCATAAAGTTACTTAAGCAACATTGCTTAAAAAACTAATGACATTATTTATAATGTATCAGATAATTTAGATATTCTTTTATTGTTTGACATATAAAAATTTATTTGCAATAATTAATGACTGTTGTAGGGACGATTAAAATTATAACTAGTGCACGTACCCGCATATTGTTATATAAACGCCTTTTTTCGCTTTTATTGTTGTATGCGGACAAAAGGTAACAAAACCAAAGAAATTTTAATTACAAATGGTAACAAGTATTTCAGTGACTCTATAGTAATAGTAATGGTAATATGACCATTTGTTTAAATATATTTTTGTATATTTCGAGAGGCAAAGCATTCTTTATTATCGTACTTTAAAATTAAACTAAAGTCAAGCCTATAGGCTGGGAATCAAGTTACCCCAACAGTTGACAGTTACTGTCAAACGGTAACCATAATAACATTTAAAATTTTGCCGTTATTACAAAAGTTGAAATTGGAGAGGGAAAATGTCATGCTTTTAAAGGTACGCAAAGTTAATAAATTTTCTTTAAGTAAATCAAAATTCTAGGAATTGAATTTTCTTCTGAAGTAAACATGAAAGTTCCTTGGACATCATCGAGTCGACAAAAGGAAAATCTAAATAATTTAAAAGCAATTAAATATAGGTGCGACGAATTACTTTGCAGTAGGGTTTTTGAAAATGAAGATGATCTTCTGACCACCTTAAATTTCAAAATCATAAATTTCCTGAAATTAGACAAACTATAGGTGATGTTGCTAGAATGGAATTTTTAAAACAAAAAGATGTTTTAACTGCAACTAGTTCAACAATATCTACCGTCAATATATGCCCAAATGAAGAAGATAAAAATACGTTTTTTCGAGTATATGCAAAAGGGTTCGGAAGGCGCAAAATTAAAAAATCACGTTTTAATGAAAAACAAAAAGATTTTTTTGGCAACCTTTTTGAAGAAGGTGAAAAAACTAAAATTAAATATACGCCTGAATATATAGCAACAGCTTTACAAAATTATGAAGTAAATGGCAAATTTTAGTTTTCTTCAAACGAGTATATGCATTCTAATCAGATACGGGGCTTATTATCAAGATAATTGTCAGATAGAAGGTTAAACAAAAATAGAAAAAGAAAATTAAAAAAATTGCCGGAAGAAATTGAAGAAATTAGCCCAGAAGCGGATGAAGTTTTTTGAAGTTTTATGAGTTTTAAAGTAGTTCCTTTGCGGCCTAAGTAACTTTTAAGTTATAAATAACCCTGGTTAAAATCTCTAGACTGATTCTGAGAATCGCTCTAGAGATTTGAACCAGCCAGTATGATATAAACCAGGGTTATTTATAACTAAAAAGTTAGCGAATTTACCCCCTAGAGCCCAACAAGTTTAAAATTTAATGTAAAGGTAATAATTATTATTATTATTATAATAATTATTAGGATATATCTTTATTATTTAATATATGCAAATCTTGCAGATAAATTGTTATATGTTAAATAATAAAGAAATAGTAATATCAATAATAATAATAAAGAAAAACATAATAAATAAAATAAAGAACAAACCCATTAAATAAATAAAGGAATACGTAACTCTTTATAATAAAGGAATACATAACTATATTATCTGAAATGCTATATAGTTTTTAAAGAAAAAAGGCTGCAGCGCCCCCTGGGTGTGAAAAAATAAAACTTTTTTTTGCTGTATTATTGTTACCAATAAAAGTAATCTCCTGGAATTCCTTAGTTAATAAATAAGAATAAAGTTGTAACTGTAATTCAATTTTTTTTAATGCGGTAAACAAAACTTTAAGTTGGCTTTACGGGCGGCAACATCATTTGCAAGTAAATTTTTATATATCAAATTTTAAAGGAATATGTATATTATCTGGTATACTATTTAGTTTTTTTGAGCATTGTTGCTTAAGAGAGTTTTTGGTCTTCAAAAAACGTCTATTTTTTAAGAAGAAAAAATTGCAGCGCCACCTATATGTAAAAAATTTAATTTTTTTTTTGGTAGAATTGTAGGTACTAATAAGGGTCATTTATGGACCACATCTCAAAACATTCAGTATTTTAATAAAAAAATTATGCTAATATAATGAAATTATGGCTTTTTGCGAAATGTAAAATGAAATGGTCTCTGGGAGCCAAAGTTTAGGTCAGATAAAAGAAAAATTTTAGATTTAGGGTGGAATTAGATGTATAAACACAATATTAAAATATAAAAAAAATCTGAGATGTGTTATAAAAAAATACCCCAAAATCGTTCGATTCTTTCGCGAAATCATAGTTAAGTACTCCAGCTCAGTTTAACTAATTTTAGGCCGCTGATTTCAAAAATGTCATTAGTTTTTTTCTAGGACGTCTAGGATTTAAAATAATTTCGTAATAAAATTCTCTCCTCAATCACCTCAAAATGTAAGTTTTTTGTTAGTATTGTAATTATTTATTAAATTATTTTGGCTTAAATTTATCTTGAATGTACTGAAGTAATTGGTATTCGACAAATAGATCATATTTATCTTAACATTATGACATTTTAAATACTAAAACTAAAATTTTAATGTATTTTATGTAAAAAAACCAACCATTATTTGACATTTTTTGTCGTTTATTTTAATTATTAAATTGAAAGGGCAACAAAGTAAGCAAGTTTCAGTATTTTTTATCCAAATTAAGCCCTCAAAATTTATTGCATTGCATAATTTTGCTTTTTTCTACCATAAATTTATAAATTGTATCAAATATCGAATTGGATTATAGTTTTATTGTGCTTAATCCTCATCATAGTCGTACATCTTTTGCTGCAAATTTCAGCGACTATTTCCCTCGTCTTAATTTCCACCAATCACAAACGCGCAATTTTGAATTACAAATGGTTTCTAGGTGAAAGAACTGTGTGACAGCACCTGTCAGCAGTTTATTCGAGTTTACCCGCGGCCACGGTCTTATATACAGGTCCTGCAACTTCGCCCAATTTCAATAGGAAAAGTGACCTCTCTAATGAGACACCCACCAGATGGCGCATCGAGTTGGGTGGTAAACCATAGATGTTTAAAGGTCGTTTTTACCTTCTTTATCTTTGGGTTTTACAATCGTTAGATAAGCTCTCTGGTGGATAATTTTCTTGGATAGAAGGTTTCTATGAAAGTTATCCGCCAAATAAGCTAACTTAATCTAACGATTGTAAAACTGGCTCTAAGTCCTTAAAGTCTATGGGATAAAAGTCAAATGAACTACCTACTTATGTTCACAGCTGTGTTAAGAAACATAACCTACATTTTTATAAACAAGCTTGTGTGTTTTGTTACAGGGAGTTTTTACTTATTGTTATTAGTCCGGTCAAAATAGACATTTCAAATAACAAAAATTCCGACAGAGCTAAATTTTGGTAGAGACCTTGGGTACACCAGTAGAAATAAAGTGCCAAAAATCCCCATTGATCCCATGTGTGCTAAAAAAGTTACTCAAGGTCAAAGAAAAAATTTTCGGTTTTTTTTATTTTTCTCGAAAACGGTAAGATTTATAAAAAATATATTCTAGACAAAAATTGTAGATCATAAAATTGTCTACAAAAATTTTCCCTATACTTTTTTTCCTAAGAATTACCATTCCTATGATATCGCCATTCTAAAAGTTGAAGGAGTTACATTCTACATGATATCCACACTGTGGATTCCACAGTGTGCATATACGTGGTATTTGTGTGCATTGCGGCGGTTTATCTTGGCAGTTGCTTGGTAACGAAATCAACAAACTTATGATTTATTATCTATGGCTCATATTCCTGCTTTTCTCAAGTGGTTAAGTGAAATACTTTTAGTGTTAAACGTTCCTTTCGGGTGAATACGAGTGAATACATGTATTTATTGCTAGCGTCTACTATTACAGTTTGTAAC